CACGCCATGCTCACCCTGCTTGCTGCCCAAATATGATGGGAGATGGTGCTAGAGCTTTCCCATGTTGGCTGTGCCTCACTGCAGCCCCCAGTTCACATGAGACCTTTCTGCTTCGCTGTCCGGGAGCGGCGCTGGCTCTGCGGTTCCCGGTTCCTGCCAACCCACATGTCTGCACGATGTCCTGTGTAGTGAGGAGCCCGGCGGGGCCTCGCCCCACAGCGGTGTGGTAAACCATGCGGGGCCGTGCCCCCCAAACCCCTGCTGCAGGCAGTGCTGGCAGCGTGCGGCGAGACACGGCTCCGGCAGCAGCTGGTGCAGCCGGGGCTGGGGTGTGCAGCAGAGACCGCAGCCACGAGCGGGGTGCGGGGTGGAGCAGGCGTCCAGCCATGGGAGGGCAAGAGCCCCTCACCCAGGTAATTTGTGCAGGCGTAGGGCAGAGAGCAGTTCCTGACGGGGCTGTCCTCCCCCCCTCCCAGCCCATGTCCTCTTCTGCCAGGTCCAGGCTCTCCCTGTGCCGAGGCTGCTCCTCCAGGCTGCACGGCAGGGACCTGGAGCCACCCTGTGTGCCCACCCCCCACCACCAGCCATCTCTTTTCTTTAATTGATTGTAGAAAGCAATTTACAAAATACAAACCGCTGCCTATGCCAAGCTCTGCGTGTCCAGGCATAGCTTAATTTCACAGTAAAATTTCAAATGCAATGAATGGCTTTTCCCAGCACCAGTCCATGTCCAAGCCAAGAGCTTTGCAAGCTGCACGGGCTGTGCTGAGCAGCCCAGAAATGGCTCTCGCACTGCCCTGCGGAGCAGGCAGCTCCCCGGGCTGGCTGTCACGACAGCCACAGCAGCCCTGCCAGCGCCCACGTGGCTGATGCTGCCCGGGCTGGCTCAGCTGTGCGGGACCCACCACGGCTGCAGCCCAGTCCGTGGGGCCCTGACTCTCCGTGCAGCGAGCAGGACGCTGCAGGCATCCCGTGCGATGCCACCTCTCCGTGCAGCCCCCGGGGACGTGTCCTGGCAGGGCTAGCCAGCGCTGTGGTGGAGGGGGCTCTGCTGAGAGCGGGTCCTCTCCCTCCGGCTCCTCTCATGTCAGAGCCATAATTTCGTGGTCAGGGTCTAGGAGGTTTGTACACACAGATGCATTAATTCTGCATTTAGTAATACCTGAATAATTGGTGTCACATCAATTAGATCGGTTCTCAGATACTGCAGTGGTAAGTGCTGTGCAAAAGCCTTTGGGCTTCAGGATATGAGGAATCCCAGTGGCAAGCAAGGCTGGTGGGGCTGGCAGCCGCAGGCAGAGCAGGGCTGACGGGGATGTTGGGTGCTGAGGGGTTGGTGGGGGTGCATGGCACGTTTGTCCTGGGCAGGGGAGTGCTGAGGCCTGGGTGTCCCCAGGTGGCTGGTGCCTGGGGCTGCTGTGCCGGGGGGACGCAGCCCTGGCTGTGCAGCATGGGGGTGCAGGTGTGCGCTCGGGGGGGTGCTGCCAACATTGCAAGCCCCTGAGTGTAACATCCCTGTTGTCCTGCCGTGGTGCTCCTCCATGTCAAGCCACTTGCTGGGCACCTAGCTCAGCACCATCCGCCATTCCCCCCATCCCTTCGGGCTGCTACTGCAGCCCACGGCACAGCTTTGCACGCAGGGTGGGTTCTCCAGCACCAGGCTGCCTGCCCTGCCAGCTAACGGGAAGGGGACTCAGGTGGGTCTGGGGCAGTGTGGAGAATCCCCAGGCTCACGTGCCTGAAATATAGATCAAGCGCTGTCAGTCCAGTCCCTGCTGCGGATTGTAGGCAATTTGCAGATGACAAATATCCCCGACAGTAAATACTTTTCCCACCCTCATCTTTCTGCAAGCAGATAAGGTGGCAGCACTGTGGCAATATGGTTGCTGGAGGGAGACAAACTCTTTGGCAGTCTTAAAAGTCTATTGTGTCCTGCAATTATTTATAGATAAACAGAAGAAAGCCAATAAGCACAGAACGGAGCTGCACAGCTGCATTTGTTATGATGATGATGATGTTATCTCTCCCTCACACCCACACACAAACATCTTCAGCGCATGGAAACTCACTGCTGGCAACAATCCACTCCCCGTCTGGTACGAGACAGGACAGGCTGGAGGTTTTGCCCTCTTCTCACTGACTTGCTGCCAGTCTGTTTTCCCCAACAGCGACCCAGCTCCTCCGGTGGCTTCTCACCCCCTGGCCAAACTGGGGAGCTGCAGCAGCGGGTCCTGGGGTGCCTGTGCAGCAGTGCAGTCCCTCCTTGAGGCACCCTGGGGTTGCTGTCTCTGGTCCCAGCTGCAGCAAGGCGTGGAGACTGGGTGGCCTTCGTCCCAGCCAGCCAGCCCCCAGGGTGCTGGGGGCCTCGCGGTGAGGGGGGTCCTGCTGTTGCGGGGAGAGAGGGGGACTGGCTGGGTCCTCACCAGCGGGACCCCGGGGTGCGGGTGCTCCCCAGTGCCAGGAAAGCTGCTTTCCCTGCTCTGCGCATCCAGGACCTCCCCTCCCATCCCACACTGCTGCGGAGGACAGAAATGGGTGTGTCTGGAGGAAGCCATGCAGAGATCTGGGATTAAACGACGTGGCAGGGAAGAGCAATGGGGATCGCTGCTTACGGGCGCGTTTCTCCAGCCTGTGGAGCCGAGATGCCGGGGAGTGAGAAACGCTGGCTCTGGCGTGGGCAGGGGTCGGAAGCGCCGCGCTCTCCCCGGGCAGTGAGCCCTTGGAGAGGTCCCGGAGCACTGCGGGAGGGGGCAGGGAGGGGCTGGGGGCCAGGCCTGGACCCGCTGGGCTGGGGCCAGGAAAGCTGCAGGCAGAAGGCTCTCCAGGCACCCGAGTGAGCTGCTGTTCATGCAGCGCTGGGGCCCCCCGGGGTGCTGCACGGCATCGCCTGGCTCCCGCCGGGGCAGGAGCCCCGCAGCTCCCCAGGGCCAGGGGTGCAGGAGCAGTGCTCGTCCCTGGCAAGCGCTCAGCCTTGTCTCTGCAGGACCCCTGCCCTGGGAAAGCACCGGCGTGAGCTCTCCAGCTGCGGACAGCAGCCGAGACAGCGACGAGGAGCCCTTAACCAGACCGAGGAGTGGGATGATTTTTCACTGCTTCCTTGTAATAAGAGGACAGGAGTAAGTGACTAGTACAGTTCGTTCACTCGGTAAAGATTTATACAATCACTTCATCCAGTAATTGGTATTCTGGGGAGAGAGGGAGCTGCAGCTCCAGCATCCGCCTCTATTTGTTTTCTCTCTGTCTTTCTTTCTCTCCCCTTTTCAGAATGAGTAATTCTGTCCCTCACGATCCCATTTAAACAGAGCATTTGCGGAGTGAATAATTAGTTACATTCAATTAGGTCTCACGCGCTCTCCCTTCTCACTTTGGGGGACGGGCGCACTAATGAGATGGCACATGTCTGACATGCGGGAGCAGTCATTAAACACGCTGCGTGCCAGCGGGGAGAGGTCAGCTCTGGGGGAGCAGGGAGCCTGAGGAGCCAGCCTGCTGCCATGGGGCAGCTGTGAGGAGATGGTCCTTTGAGGGCTGTTTGGGACCAAAAGCTTTACGTTTGGAGCCAAAGGTTCCATGTCTGTGGCCTACACGATGCCAGCCCTCTCTGCTGGTGGGACTAGCAGGGCCAGCAGGAACTGGGGTCACTTCTGTCCCCAGGGCAGGGTGTTCACTGGGCTGGTGCTGAGGGGACACTGCCCAGCCCTGCGACCATCCCACCGGCACTGCTGGGAGTGCCAAGCCCTAGGAGGGAAAGCTGCTGACATGCTTTTATCTCCCTTATTAAACCTAACATTAGGTTTTAAGAGGAGCCTTAAATAATGTGCCACTGCCTTTACAGTAAAAGTGGCCCTGTGTTCCAGCAGCTCCTGGCTTTGGGATTTACAGCCTTTCTTATGCCACACTGCGTGCACTCGGGTGGTGGCAGGTCACGGGCTGCAGCAGCTCCTGGTGTCCGGAGCCTGCGCTGGGCTCGGTGCCGCTGTAGCCCAGCCCCACGGCAGCCCCGCTGCTGCTCCCCGGCAGCCCACAGCACTGCCCTGCGGGGTAGATGTGGGGATGGACTGGCAAGGGGAGGTGCACTGGTCTGCCTGCTGCAGGCAGCCCTGCCCATACACCCAGTCCCCTGTGGTGCTGGGCTGAGGTCAGGACATGGGGGCAGGGCTGTGGGGGACCAGAGCCCCTGTGCTCTCCTCGCAGGCAGGGTCAGCGGGTGGGAGCTGCCCCATTGCCTCGCGAGATGCGACTGCAGATGCAGGGGGGGGGTAGGCCCAGGCTCGGGGCGTGCTGGAGGCCAGTGCCGGGAGGGGCTGGGGCAGGGATCAAGCACAGCTGGTGGGGTCCCTTCCCTCCCCTGGCGAGAGCATCTGTCCCGGGAACATCAGTCCCAGGAGCCGTGGTCCCCTGAGCCTCCCTCCCAGGGGCACCCGTGCCCAGAGCACCCACGCCTGAAGCATCCCCCCCCGGAGCGCCCGCAGACGGAGCATCCCCCCCGGAGCGCCCGCAGACGGAGCATCCCCCCCCAGGAGCGCCCGCAGATAGAGCATCCCCCCCCAGGAGCGCCCGCAGACGGAGCATCCCCCCCCAGGAGCGCCCGCAGACGGAGCATCCCCCCCCGGGCAGGCCCCAGCGATGCGGGGAGCAGCTGCCGCCCGTGCCGCTCACGCACAGTGGGAGAATAATAAAGTTTAATTACAGCTTTTTGTCAGCGGCGCGGGGGAGAGTAACAGGGCCCGGCCGTTCCGCCCCGCCCCGCGCTGTGCCCGGGGGTGCGGCACCTCCCCCCGCGGCGGGGGGGCAGGGGGCTCGCAGGCCGCGTGGGGCAGCCCCCGCCCCCCGACCCCGGCGGAGGCAGCGCGGCCCCGCCCCGCCCGGCCCCGCCCGGCCCCGCCCCGCCCCGCCCCGCCCCGCCCCGCCCCGCCCCGCGCGGCCCCGCAGCACCACCTCCCGGCCGCCGCCGGCGTGGCCGCGGCCCCGGGCCCCGCCGTCCCGGCCGAGAAGCGGGGGGGGGGCCCGGCCGTGCCCCGCGCCGGCAGCCGCGCCGCGCTCCGCCGTGGGCCCGGGCTCGGCTCCGCGGCCCCGCGCAGGCGGGCGAGCCTCGCTGCACCGCGGCCGCGCCGGGAGCCCCGCGGAGGGGGCCGTGCCGCGGCCCACGGCTGCCGCCGCTCGTCCGTGGCAGCCAGACCGTGCCGCGGGGTTTCCTCCTGGGCCGGCGAGGGCTCAGGACGGCGCTGGCCGTGCTCCGTGCTGCGGGAGGCAGGGCCCGCTGCCCTCACAGCCGCTCCTGCTCCGAGATCCGGCTCTCTTTGCCGTACTCCTGGGCCACGGGCTGGCCCCCGAGCAGGGTCTCCTGCACAGGGAAGAACCCATCCTCCGTCTCCGTGGGCTGCTGGGCCTCCGGGGTCTCTTGAGGCTTCCTGGCCTCCATCTGCACAGGGGCAGGGGTCAGGGGCAGGCAGCCACATCCCACACCTCCGCAGCCACGTCCTTCCGCAGGCTCCTGCTACGCTGCCATGCAGGGCAGGGCTTCCCCCTGGGCGGGTCCCCCCTCCCGTCCCAGCATCTGCCCCAGGGTTGCCCCAGCCCTTGTCCTGCCCCAGCCAGGCAGCCCCAGGACAGCCCCCCCCCCCCCCCCCCCCCCCCCCCGCCGCTGCTCTCCGCTGCTGGCACATCCCCGGCTGTGCGCAGGAGGGACCACAACCCCACTGCTGGAGGAGGGCTCTGGGCACACTCACCTGCTTCTGCACCGGTCGCCTGGGATCTGGACGGAAAGATGGACAGAGAGGGCAACGGTCAGGGGGGAGCGCTCCTGTCCTGCCCTGCAGGGAGCTCTCAGGGGTCAGAGCCGCAGGTCCTGCAGCTCACATTGCGCTTGCTGCCGCTGCCGGGCTGGGGGGCACGGCCGGGGAGCCAGGCTGGACCCCCAGGGCACAGCGCTTTCCTCCAAGAGCCGCAGTAGTGCCAACAAGCCTGCTCCCAAGGACAGAGCCCACTGACCCAGCAGGGCGATGGGCTTGGGGAACCACGCGCTGGCGGTGTCCCCAGAAGGGCTGCCCCGCTCTCGGCAGAGCTGCCGCCCTCCTCCCCGCTCGGCTCCTCGGCCCCATACGGCCCCTCTGGCCAAGGCATCGCCTCCCGTGTCCCAGCCTTACCTGCGTGGACCAGGCAGTAGATGCAGATGCCCACGAGGCACGTGACGACCGCGGCCGTGATGGGGATCAGCACCGACAGCGAGGAGCGCCTGCCCGACTCTGCCGAGGGCAGGGGGACAGGGAGGCACCCGCGTGACACTCACGCCGAGCACCCCGAGCTGCCTCTGCTCCAGGCACAGTCCCATGGGGATTCCCCACGGGGACAGAGAGGAGCAGGAAGGCATCGTACAGTCAGATGCTCCTCTCCCAAAACCCCCCACGAACCAGGCCAGCTCCTCTGACTGCTGCAGGAGCCGGAGCACCGGGAGATCTCTGCTCTGCACTGGGCCAGCCCCAGGCACCGGGCACTTACCGCAGATTGCATCCGAGGTGTTCGTCCCTTTCACCTTCACCACGAGCCCCTTTTCCTCACAGCTGCAGTGAAGAACAAGACCATGTAACCTCAGCAGCAGTGAGCACGCGGAAAGCCCCTGAGCAGGAACGGCCGGGGCTGGCACCAGAGCAGGGCAAGAAAGCGTCCTGCGCTGAGCCTGCCGGGCTCTGGATGGGCGAGTGGCCAGGAGCCCTGGCCAACACCAGGGCCTGTGCTGCATGACTGGGGACACCAGGGACACAGCAGGGCCCCACCCGGGGGTCCTGGTCTGGAGTTGTTCAAATGGCTGAAGATGGGGACAACTTTGGGGACAAGGCGCAGGAGGGAGCAGACCTGCTCAGTCAGGGAGACCCCGGGGCTCGGGCACGGCAACTATTGCAGAACGGCTTGGAGATGACTCGATGACATGCTACAAGTGGCTCTGTGGGGAGGTAATTTCTGGGCACAGATAAAAGCAAAGTGAAATCCAATGGCTGGCAGCTGAAGCAAGACTAATTCAGCCTGGAAATAAGGCTCACGTTTCTACCAGGGAGGACAATTAACTCTCAAGCAGCTTTCTAAATACAGGGATGACCTGCCAGCCCATGGCATCCTCAAAGCCAGACTCCCCATGGAGATGGCTGGTGCCTCTGCTGATGACTACAGCCAGGGATCGTGCTGGAAGGGAGAGCCTGGACAGGGCATGGGAGGTCCATGCACCAAGCACCTGGATGTCTGCCTCGAGCTCAGCCACGCCGCCCTGAACCTCGCCGCCCTCTCACTCCTGCCCTGCGCCAGCCTGATGCCGTGTCCCTCAGAGACCATCCCAGCCACGCAGTCCCCAAGGTCCCTAGGAGGCTGGCAGCAGAAGACATGCTCACAGGGACTGGGCACAGCCAGGGGTGGGTGAAGGATGTGGTCACCACTCAGACAATACCTTGTCCAGGGATAGCACGGCTCAGTTTTAGAAGAGACGTTGGAGAAGGTGCCTTCTGCACAGGGCTCGCAGGGGGAGGACATCCGGGCCACGGCCTTGTCTGGAGAGGAGCAGAGGTTGCAGGAAGGTCAGTGTGGGCTGCTGGAGGTCAGGGCTGTGGGGGTCAGGCAGGCAGCACTCCCTGTGGCAGCGCTGCCAGACACAGCGGCAGGCACAGCTCTCCCACAGCCCTGCTAGGGGAACCTTGCTGGGGGAGCCCCCCTTTTCCGGGAGGACGTGAGGTCAGTGCTGCCAGGCCATCAGTCCTGCTGGGAGGTAGGAGCTGGCTGGGCTCACCTGCCACGAAGCCGAAGCCGCGCTGGCAGGGCTGGTTCTCCACGCAGGTCTGGCAGCTGGCGTCAGAGCAGTGCATGCCAGCCTGGCACTGGCACACGGTGTTGTGCGTTGCGTTCCCTTGCGTCTTCACAACAAGGCCAGCATCTGAGCAAAGGGAGCATGGGCAGGGTGAGACACCGGGCGGGTGAGCCTGGAGGGGAACACCAGCCCCTGCAGCCCCCACAGGCTGCTGCTGGTGGCCATGGAGAGCACTTACTGTCTTCACAGATATCGTGCGGGGTACAGTGCCTCTCCCTGGTCCAGCTCTGCTGATAGTGTCCACTCTCACAGCGGGCACAGACAGAGTCTTCTGTGCCATTGCATTCGGAGACCAGCTTTTCCCCTGCAACAGAGGCTGGTGAGGAAGGAGCGAGGGGGCTTTCCCCCTCTCCAGGCAGCAGCTCTGCCAGCAGGACTGGGGAGCACTGGTGGCTGTGGATGCCAGGGCCACTGCAGCATGCTGCTCAGTAGCCTGATGCCGCTCTGGCAGCCGGGGCTGCAGGGGCCAGCTCGCCCGGTGGCTGCACACACTGCACGGGGGCAGGTGGGGAGGGCTGCTGGGTGCTGGGGCAGGAGAGCAGCGGGGGTCGCTCACTGCCTCCAGCCCTCCAAGGACTGGGAAATGATCTGGCAGTGAGAGCAGGAGCTGGCAAATAGCATCATGATTTGGTAGTGCCAGAGGCAGCACTCTCCCCACAAGCTGCCTGTGCCATGGGGTCCTGTGGCTGCAGGAGCACAGACAGTCCCAAGAGAGCAGTGGCAGATTCGGTAAAGTCCAGGGGGTCTCCCAGGGCACCCATGAGGTCCCCAGTTGCTCTAGCAGTGAGGTAATACAGGGAGGTGAAGCTGTCAGCACCGCTGGCAATGGGGTGGATGGGCTCGGTCACACCGAGCTGGGCTTGCTCCGCTGTGGCCAGGCAGTGGGTCCTGGCACAGCCAGGCCTCGGGGTCCCCAGGAAGGGGAAGGGGTCTCCATACCTGGCTGACACCGGTTGCAGCACCTGCCCTTGTGTTCGTACTGTTTATCAAAGCATCTTATGGCATCACCAGGCTCCCAGCACTGGAAAAAAACAAGACCTGTGAATTCATGCCACTCCCCGGCGCTCCGGCACTGCCTCGCTTCCGCAAGCACGCGTGTGCTAACCTGTGCACTAACCCACGTCCCGAGGTGAGGGCTTCCTCACACCGCTCTTCCCATGCCTGTGCTAACCACAGACCGCAGCAGAGCCGCCTGATGCCACCAGTGCTTTCTTTGAAGTGTGGTGGCAGCGATTCCGGTAGGGTGGCCCCAGATTTCCTAACAGATGGTGACCGCACATTGCCCTGTGCCTCTGCCCTTGCCAACAGTGCGGCAGTGTGGGGCAGGGGGAGCAGCGTTAACCGAGCCCGGAGCACTGCCAGCCCCTTCCCAAGGCTCATGCGCCAACCCTGAGGGGCAGGAAAGCCCCGGGCAACTACATCATCCATGCAAAATCAGCCAGGGCCCTTCCTTGCTCCTCCTAGCAGGGGGCTGCGCGCATGGGAAGGGTGGAGGGGAGGCAGGGAATCAGATCTCGGGCCAGTCTGGGTGCCGGGGGACACCCACAGCACCGTACCCTCGCACCGAGCAAGCCCCGCGCTGCCCATCCCCGGTAGCTCCTGGCAGACCCGCCTGAGCCCGGCCGTCCCGGGGAGCGGGACCGGGGCTCTGGCAGAGCCCAGGGGCGAGCTGACTGCGGGGCTGGGGGCCAGCAGGTGAGGGAGGGCCGGGTGCCGTGGCCCAGCCGCCCCCCGCCCCGGGCTGCCCTGGCTCGGTGGGGCAGCGATGGGGCTGTGGGGCACCATGAGGTCTGACGAGGGGATGCCCGGCCGGCCCTGCCATCGGGGAACGGGCCCGCTGTCACACGCGTCTGACATCGAGCAGAACGGGAAGTGAAAGGGGCGCGGGCAGGCCTGCCCCTGCACCCCCGCAGCCTCCCAGCACCCCCGTGCCCCGGCCGAGGGCCCTGCTTGTGCCTGGGGCTGCGCAGCCCCGCAGCTCGACGCTGCCGGTGCCCGCCCGCGGGGGCCCGCGCCCCGGCCCCGGCGCGGCGCAGGGCTGGGCTGCAGCCCCCGCCGAGCGCCGCTGCCCCGGGAGAAAGCGAAAGCGGGGCCGGTCCGAGGGGCCCGCGGGCAGAACCCGCCGGCCCTGCCCTCTCCCCCCCCCCCGACGTCCACGGCCCCGGGCGCTGACGAGGCGTCCCGCGTGGGGCTGGGGCGGTGCGGGACGGCGGCGCTGCCGGCGGGGCTCCGCCGCCGTCCCGGGCACGGCCCCACCCGTGGGCCTCCCGTGGGGGCGGACCGCGCCGAGGGGACGGGCCAGAGCGGCCGGACTGAGCCCCTTCCCGGAAAGGCCGGCGGCTGCGGGCCGGGGCTCTGCCCCTACGGAGGCAGGGCGGGAGGGAGCGGGCAGCCCCGGCCCCGGCCCCGACCCCGGCCCCGGCCCCAGCCCCGACCCCGACCCCGGCCCCGGCCCCGGCCCCGGCCCCACTCACGCCCAGCAGCACCGCGCCGAGGAGTCCCAACAGCCCAAGCCGCTTCATGTCGCCGCGCCCCCCCGCCGCGGCCGCCCGCCCTATAACGCCCCGGCCCGTTCCCGCCCAGGAAGGGGGCGGTGGGCCGCCCGCCACCGCCTCCGGGGCTTCCCCGCGGGGCGCCGGGCCCGGGGAGCCCCGGCAGCTCCCGGCCGGGGGGCGGGAGCGGAGCGAGGGGGGCAGCTCCCCGCGGGCCCCCGCAGCCCGGGAGGAGCCCCGCGGTGCCGGCGGGGCTGCAGGAGGAGCGGGCAGGGGCAGGGGCCGGCCGCGGGCCAGGGCGAGGAAGGGTTTGTGCCGGCCCCGACAGCTCAGTCCCGGGGCAGAAGCGGCGGGTTTCACTTCATTTTTCCAACGGCGGTTCAGGGCTGCGGCCCCGGAGAGCCCCCGCTTCGTTTTCCCAACGGTAACTCGGAGCTGTGGCCCCGGAGAGCCCCTCATCGCTGCCCGCAGGCCTCTGTGCGGAGTTCCCGCCAGCGCGTCAGCCCAGAAACGGGAAGGGGCGAAAGTGCTGGAGAACCGGCTGCGCCTCTGGCCGCCCGCCCGCCGCGGGCTCAGTTCCCTCGGAGCAGCCCCCGAGGGGTCCCCGGGGAAGTTCCAGCCTCCCCCCGCCTCGCTCCGGTGACTTTCCCCGGACTCCCCGCCGCGGCATGCGGCCCGGCCGGCAGCGATGGCTTCTCAGCACCCCCCGGGCACGGCCCGTGATGCCGCCCCGGCCCCGCACCGCCGCGGTCCCGGTTCGGCGGCTGCCAGCCGCCCGTGGCCGTGGCCAGGCCCAGCGGGAGCCGGGGGCAGCGCGCATCCCGGGGGCTCTGGATTCCCCAGCCTGCCGTCACTTCCCAAAACCGACGCGCCGGAGGGCGCGAAGGGTCCCGGGGGACTCTCGTGGGCAGGGACGAGGAGGCCGCGGTGGGGAGGGGATTTCTAGGCCCGGCTCCCGCGGGACCGACCCGGGAAGTCCCCACGGGGCCGGGCACCGGCCGCGCAGGGGGACGCGGCTGCGGCTGCGAGAGCTCCCCACTCCCCGCTCCCACTCCCGGCCCCGGGTGGGGCGGGGGCCGCGGGGCTCGGTGCTGCCCCCCCGGCGGGACTCCCAGCCCACGCGGCGGGACAGCCCAGCGCTGGGGCTGCGGCGGGGGGCAGCTGCCCGGGGCCCCGCTCACCGGGGGCACGGCCGGGCGGGGGGCACGGACCCCGATCCCGTCCCGACCCCGAGCCGATCCTGACCCCATCCTGACCCTGACCCCATCCTGACCCTGACCCTGACCCTGACCCTGACCCAGATCCCGATCCCGTCCTGATCCTGGACCCAATCACAGCCCCGACCCTGACCCCGATCCCGGACCTGCTCCCGACTCCGATCCCGTCCTGATCCTGGACCCGATCACGACCCTGACCCCGACCCCATCCTGACCCCGACCCCATCCTGACCCCAGGCCCAAGCCTGACCCCAAGACCGACCCTGACCCTGGACCCAATCTTGGACCCGGACCTGATCCTGACTCTGATCCCATCCCGATCCCGGACCGGACCCGATCCCAACCTCGATCCTGACCCCGATCCCGATCCCATCCCGACCCCGGCCCCGATCCCGGCCCCGCCCCTCGCGGGGTCCGGTGGCGCCACCCAGCGGCCTCGCCCGGCCGCTCTCCGCGGGACTACAAGCCCCAGCTTGCCTTGCGGCGGCCGGCTCGCGAGGCATGCCGGGACCCCAGGCAAGGCGCTGCGGAGCCTGCTTCTTGCCTCGATAGTCATGGCGGCGGGCGGCACATCAGCGCGTCGTGCCGCAAAGCGCGAGGTGTCGCCCTCCCGGCGGCTTTGCGACGGCGCCGTACGGCAGCGGCGGTTGGCGCCTTTGTCCCGGCGTGCGGCCTGAGGCGGAGCGGGCCGGTAAGTCCGCGGGCGGGCCCGTTAGTCCGCGGGCGGGCCCCGCGGCCGCGGCGGGGCCCCGCGGGGGGCGCTCGGGCGGAAGGCTGTGCGGCAGCAAACCGGGCGGAGGGTCGAGTCCCTCCCGGCCGCCGCGCTGGGCCGGCGGCGCCCCGCGGCCTGCGGGCGGGCCGCGCTTCCGCCGCCCCGGCGAGCGGGGGCCAGCCGGTGCGCGGGGCTGGCGAAGCGCCGGGCCCCCGGCCGCGGCGTGCGGCGGCGGTTGGGCGGTGGCGGCGTGCCCCGGGGCCCGGCGGGAGCTGCGGCCGCCGGTGGAGCCCCGGCCTGCGGCCCGTCCCCGCCGCTGCTCGGGAAAGCCGGGGAGGCGCGGGGGGGGGGGGCCGGGCAGCCCCTCTGAGCGGCCCGGCTCGCGTTCTCCCCGCAGCGGCGGGACCCTCGGCGGGGCCGGCGAGCCCTTCTCCGTGTTAGCGCTGCCCCCGCGGGCAGCCCTGCGCCGGCCCGGCGCCCGGGGCGTGGAGCGGGCGCTGGTGCTGCCCGAGGACGACCCTCCCGGGCCGGGCCTGGGGGGCTGCCCCGCGGGGCCGGGCTCCCGGCGTGCCGAGAGCCGCTAGCCGGGGCTGGATGGGGAGCTTGCTGCTCCTCGGCGTCGTTCCTTTCAGCGGCGGCTGGCTTTATTGTTTCTGCCTTGCCTAGGAGCTTCTTGCAGACGTCTGTGTCGTGTTGTGCCTGTGCCATGTTAGTTTCTATATCCCACCTCAGCTGTGTCTTGCTTTCTGAAGCTGTAGTGCTATTAATAAATAAATTTGGTTTTAAATATAAGATTTTTAGGGAAATGTGGCTTTAATTCGTGTCCAGAGGATTTATTGGCGCATGAGTTGGCAGTGGGCTGCCCTGTTGTAGGAGCCTGCTCGGCCTGGCAGGCCCTTTCTGTGTGGGGGATTGGCACTGTTGAGCTGCCCCGGTGTGTAGTTGGCCTCTCTGGCTCTGTTGGTAGAAAAAGACTTAATGTGGAAATTAGTTGTTCGCCTGGTGTGGCATGCCTAAACCTGGGACAATATTCATTTATTCTTACTGTGGTCTTAGGAGTCCTAAATGGCCTTTAACTATGTAATCTACCAAGTGGAAAACGGTAAGAGGCAGTAAATGCTCTTATATAAAAGTTCTCTAGTAATACAATCCATTTGAGTGTTTAGGATCTATTGCTTTGTTTTGAAAGTGACCTGCAAGTGGAAAAATAGCTCCCTGTTTTTTTTCATATGGAAAGCTCTTGCACCCTCTTCCCCAGTCACCCCCTGCTATCCCCACCCTTAAGAAGAAGAAAAGGAAATTTCTTACTGCTTTTTATACAGAAAGTGAAATGTCCTGCCAGCAGAAGTTATGGGTCTCGTTGATGCCTGTTTGCTGTGTGTATGCGTGACATCCCAACAGCGTGCGCACAGGTCACGCTGCCCGAGTAGGTGCTCGCAGGGGCTCCGAGTCCCCAGCCCTGGTAGTGCTCGGAGCCCGGCTGGAGAAGGCGGTGACAGCCAGGTCCAACTTGGATGTCACCCTCCTCCGAATGGGAACGTGGACTGGGTGGGTCTCTCCATGTTTTATAGCCACTTAATCATTTGGGGAGGATTTTGAAAACTTGTTTCCCATCAACTGATGAGAAGTTGAGCTGCAGTAGTAGAATAGAAGAGAAATCTAGTGCTTCCACACAGAAAAATGGGATGAGATTTTACACTTCTGATGGGTAAGGTAAAACTGTGTGCGTAAACAAACTTACAGGAGGACTGGGGCAAATACAGAAGAAGAAATTACTTTCTTATTTTATTTTGGTTTGTGTGTTAGTGTTTTTTCCTCCTTGTTCTAACAATTCAATTCATTTTAAAAAGTTTCTTAGACTAGAGGACATACTCTGCTTCCTGTCCCTGCAGGGTTTCCTAAAAGATGGAGAAAAATGATACAAATGTAAAGTTGATTTATCTTAAAAAACAAAAACAAACAAACAAACAAAAAAAAACACAAAACAAAAACCCAAATTTTACATCTCAAATCTGGAGTAGATGTATTTTTCATGCTAGTTAACTGTTTTAAAAGTATTTATGTAAAACTTTTATATTTTTGGACATTTGACTTGTTTATTTACCGACTACTTTTAATATGTAATGAATATAGGTTATTGTTAGGGAGTGTGTTGGTTGTAGGCATCCCATGATTAACAGTAGAAGTTTCTGTTGATATACTCAATTTCACCAGCTTTCTTTCTCCAGGTGTCTTGCATGTTATAAACAGAAAATCCCATGCTGCATTCCGGTAGATGAATGTTTAGGAAGTATGACAACTTTATTAAAATAGTTCATCTCGAAAGTTTCAGTGGTTTTCATTTTTTTTTAAGCTTTGTGTAATGGTAACTTTTAAACCAGAAAGTATAAATCTTGGGTGGGATATTTTTGCTAGCTTGGTAGAGTTTGTTTTTTTGTTTTTTTTTTTTGTTTTGTTTTGTTTTTTTTTTCCCTGCAATTCTGTGGTGAATGTTGCTGACTGCTCTAGCTTTGTCTGCAAATAGTGTGGGTTAACGAAGTGTACTTTTGCTGTACTGGGGGAGATGAGGTAGTGGTACAGCATTAATGTGGGGGTGGTTAAATTCCCAGCTGTGGACCCGCCTTCTGTGGGAGCTGACATCTTGATGGGGACACAGATATGCTGTTTAGTAGGGGTATGAATGAGAAACTGTTTTCTGATACTGGAAAGCTAAGATTTCAGAATTAGTGAAGTGATCCAAGTGTGGTCACTTAAGAGCATTTAAACAGTATTTCCTGATGTCTCATTCAAAGCCTGTATTGAAATATTTGGGTCCTGTTATGCAATGTTGCAATGAGTGTTTCCTTTTCGCGTATTAAAATATTGCATAAATTTCAACACTTCTTACCAGTGGACTGAAGAAATAGATAAGACGACAAGTGTACCAAAAAGCTTAAAGTTAAAACATTTTAGTGGAAAATGAGTGTTATTTGTATCTTAGTTCGGAGTTAAACCATTAAGACTTATCTGCAAAACAATTAGTTTTATTACCTTTCAGTCTTACAGACAAGCTCAGCCGAAATGCTGTGATATACATTTTTGCCAGACCTCTATATCCCTTGTATTAAGATTTCTCTGGAGTGAAGTTTGCGTCAAGCAGACCCAGTTGGCTTCTAGTCTGCAAAGCTGTTAAGTTTAATCTTGTTCCAGTTTAATTTTAATGTCATGGATTGAAATTATATGCATGGCCGTTTTTCTTTTTTGCGAAGAGTTGGATTTGGAACGAAAGCAAAATGGCTCGAGGACGCAAGAGCAATAGCATCAAACAGAGCGACTTCACTAACAGCACCAATCCTCAGGATTTAGAGAGAAGACTTTTTGTCGGCAATTTGCCCACAGACCACATGACTCGTGAAGAAATGGAAGAGATATTTTCAAAATATGGCAAAATCAGGGGTTAGTATGTTATCTTATGCCTTTTTGTGGCTGGGAATTCAGGGAGGAATATAACTTTCATGCTTGTCAAATGTTATTTGATGATGATGAGAGGAGTGACTAATGTTCCTAAAAAGTGACCTTTTAATGATAATATTCACTGCCTGCATTTTCTCTGAAGAAGTGATTCCTTCAGTACAGCTGAAACGTAATGTGTGTCTATCAGCTATGTTTTAGCTTTTGGGGTTGCAGTGTGGTGGTACAATATTCTTTCAAGTGACTTCTTGGTCTCTTAATCAAACCTTGGTCACTTCATGAGTTGTGTTTTGGTCACTGCCTTCTCAGAAGGAAGTTGATCTATAAAATACATGTCAGAGTCTAAGCTCTGCATTTTGATCCTGGTGGATTTAATTTTCCCAGGAAACTTGCATAGTCATTTCTGGGTAGAGCCCCTTTGCTTGTTCATCTGTTGGGGTTACGTGATGGCCTGGGTGCGGGTTAGTACTGTCCCTTAGTTGTAACCGGTCTTGCCCTGCTGTTAACTTTTCCAGCCCTCAGCATGTACCATGGCTATGGGTTCGTGCAGTATGACCGTCTAGAAGATGTCCAGGCCGCTCTGGACGGTGAGAAGGGTCGCCTTTATAAAGGGTATAGATTAGGTAAGGAAAACTGATCTGTGCTCTTCTACTGACCCCAGCATGCGTTCTGGTAGAAAGAGTGCTTTTGTTTTAAAGCTCTCTGGAAAGATCACCATGTAAACTTGCCCGGCATTAGTCTAAAATCCCTTTTACTTGGTATATATTTGTCTTCTGAGATATTTGCTGTAAGTGCTGTGTGGTTCATCTTGCCACCTAGGTCTTACTCTGAACTTATTTTTATGTGTTAATATTTGAAAAGCTCTATTACCCTGTGTAAGAAACTGTTCAACATGTAAGCCCTGGAAAGTGGTCTTTGAAGCCTCATGCACATAGTTTTAAAAACATTTGTAAACCAATATTGGGCTTCATCTTGACAGGTTCAGAGGAATTGGTCACAGAACTTAGCGGCTTGTTAGATAAGTAATCTTAACTTGCATTTTTTTGCACATGTAAAATCAATCTGTAAGTAGTGCTATAAATACTAGGTGCTTTAAAAAGGCCATTTTCATAAAGATGAAAATAATTCTGCTAAATATGCTGGAAGCAAACTTAAACAGAAATGAATGGTTAGAAATCTAAGAATAATTTATCAAATGCAAGCAACAAAACTACTGTTGAAGTAAGCCTATGCTAATTTGAAGAAAAAGTTTGACTTAGGCATGAAAGGAGCAATAAATAATAACTTGTGGGAAGGTGTGTATGCAGTAAAAAAAATATGAGCCTGAAGATGGAAATAAAGGCAAATAGACAAGGAGGGTAGAGGATACAAGAAGAAATTATGGCCAGCATTGTCCAAGTCTAGAACTGTGACTGTTTTAGAAGCTGAGGTGTAACTGTCTGGAAATAACATTTCTAACTGGAAAGGACCACCTAATCTTCAGTGATTGTTTTTGCTGTCTATTTTTGAGGAGGCAGAAGGTGTTTTTCATTTCAGTAACAAAATAAAAAAGCTAAAACAGCAGCTACCAAAACTAGACCTCTCAAAAAAATTAAATCTAACCTCTCTGAAACTTGGTGAAATGACATGCCTAAGCTATTAATGTTGTTTTACCACAAGCCTTGGAAAACTAGGGAGTTTCCCAGAGATCTAACAGAGTGCTGCAGATGTACCAGTAGGCAGCATAAGTGGGATGAGCCAGGCATCAGCCCCTGATAAAAACGGGGTTCTTTCACCTGGAACTCAGTGAGAAGGGAATTAGTGCCAATCAAAATAAATCCAGTCAAACTGACTTATCCGTATGATACTGAAAGCTTTATGGCTGAAAGTAGTGGTGTTGATGTAAAAGACCTCTGCAAGATGCTTGATTTGATTAAGAAACTAGAATAATTAAAAACAACATAGGGTTAAATGGATTTCAAATGGATCTCAGTGTAACGTAGATGGAATTGCTCAGTGCTTTGAGTGGTGTTCTGGAAAAATTGATTCCTGGCCATACAGTGCTTTTATAAGTGACTTGGAAAGAAAACACACAATCATGTTCTAAAAAGAGAATGAACTAATGAAGATTGAGTCACTGATGGTGAAATGACCTGGACTTCTTCCTAAACTGGATGCAGGCAGAACTGAGCTTTCATTAATGCCAGAAGGGAAGGTCTGCACCCAGCAAGAGTGCTCTTGTCATCCTTAGCTGTACAAAACACGCGTTTGTAAGCAGGGAGGTTTTGGTACCTGTGGGTTTTGCTGCTGGAATACCATGTTCGGTTCTGGTATGCCGGGTTCCAAAAGGATAATGCTAAATTGGAGAAGCCTCAGAAAAACCTGAAGAAGGCTTAAAGAGTTGAAGAACAAGCCCTAGCAAAAGCTTCAAGATAAAGGAGTGATATGATCTGTGTTGTTACAGACCTGGAGATGAGTGAGTTTTAATCTAGTAGGCATAGGTATGACAAGTCCTTAAATGGAAATAAATAGTTTTCTTTAACAGCAGAGTAATTTACTTCTGGAATAACGTATTGGAGCTTTGGTGGTTTCTGTGCTCTGAAGACTTTTAAATTGGAATTGGATGTTTTGCTAAAAGATAAGCTCTAGTTCAGTGCCACTGCTGCACTTGAGATAGGAGTGTGATTGAAGAAACTTTTGTCATCTGTTTATTCAGAAGGTTACACTGTATGATTACAGTGGCCCTGTCATCTCAAAACCCTACAGGACAGAAGACTCTTTTTTTTCTTTTTCCTCTAAAATTTTGTCAGTGTTCAAACACTTAACCTGTAAATGCTGTTGGCATTAAATAAAATGTTATTAAATGTTCATTTTGCACAAGAGAAGGATCCCTGTCAAAGGTGGTTTTTCTTCTAGTAAAATATTTCTGTTCAGATTTAAATACTTTTTTTTTTTTATTTGAAAGAAATGTATGGTATTGAGTGTAAAAAAAAAAAAATCATAATAGGTTTCTGCAATGGCACCTTAAAACAGAAAATAAAAATAATTTTAAACCAAAGAAAGCAGATAATGTGTTGCTTAAAGATGACACTTTAAGGGGGGGAGAAAATTCTCAAAAAATAAATGCAAAGAGAACAGTTGCTTCAGTTATACAGTCTGAATATTAAATATAATTGCTAATAACACAGTAAGTTGAAGGCTTTGGGAAAAGCTTAACTCCAGTGTTGCATTATACTAATACTTCTACAAATGCACAGAAGTGGTTTTGTATCTTTAATGAGTAAAACTATGTAGGGAATAAATGTCCATCAAATTTAGTTTGTGACAGTAGGCAATGCTGCTGTATTTGATCATGGAGAGTCTGCTTTGTGCTCCTGTGAATGTTGTTATGCTGCATTTGTAGTTAATGTTCAAATTGCACTCGCTTCTCTCTCCTCCCCCCCTAAGAAGAGAATACGCTGCTTTTTGACTGACAACAAGAGCAGAAATTAGAACTAATCCCTTAATTCTAATTTTAATCTTGGAAGTAATGAAGGATAGTTTGGGAAGTTACAGAAGATGTTAAGACTGAGTCTGCCTAAAGACATTGTGGCATGTTTATTTTCTTGCAAGAGGTTTGAAAGTAGTTAGTGTATATAATAAATTTTAATTGTTGATAGATTCTCAGGGAGCAGATAGGACCTAGGTTTGTTTTGGTCTTAAAAGATTGAGTGTAAAACACCTGAAGTCATTTCTGTTTGTTCTTGCCCCCCTCCAGTACATTATTTCATCTGCAGTCAGCTGTTATGGAAGGCTTTGTTTCTTCACTGTAGAACAATATGGGTCCCTGCCAGTTTTGGGCATCTTCACTTTTTCTGGTTGAGGACAAGACTGTTTCTTCAGCTCTGTTACTTCTTTGTATTTCACTTCATGGTGTTTTTCATGGAGATGCTCAGAAGCCAACCAATTTTCAAATTCCTGATCTGTGGCATCAGTTTTCATCATGTTAACAGTGGTGCTTTGAATGCACCATGTTGACTTTATTAAGGAGCTTTTGCTTTGGGCTCCTCGGATCCCGTTTCCTCAGTGGTGGAGGCTGTACAACTTAACGCTGCAGCAGTCCCTTGGAAGGCAGTTGCACGTGCCACTTGAGAACCCTTGGATTATTTTCAACAAGGGTGGCGGCATGCTCCATTGAACAGGACTGGCTGTGAACTTAAGACTGTGCTGGCCATCAGCTTCCTTTGTTGGAGGTTTTCAGACTCTGCTTTTTCTCCTAGAGTCCATGAGTTGTGTTCTGCTCGCTCATAGACTGCAGAAGAAAGAGGTTCTCTTATGGAATGAAGAGTCTGGATGTAGGCCTGAATGTAAAGGGTTAAAACTTCACCCGAGCTGTCCACCCTATTTTGAAGTCAGAGAAATCAATGAAAATTTCATTACATTGTACTATCTAAACTTAATAAAAAATTGTCAAAGTGACAATGTCTCTCTGCTGAATGGATTTTCTTACACCATCTGGATGTTGTTGAGCTTAAGTTGCTTTCATTTGAATTGTGCTGATGATCTTTTTTTTGTTCCATAGCATTGAACAGATGGGTTGATTATTCTTTACAGATATTAAAAAAGCAGTGGAAAGAAGAAATATGAATAAGGCTTCATCAAGGTCCAGTCCGGCACGAAGGTAAAGTACCTGGAAGCAGTGAGTTATACTAGGAAGGTCAGGCTTTTAGGGCATGAGCCCAGCGGCCTGTGCTAAATGTCTGTGTCTCTTCCCTACCACTACCTCCCCAGTCAAACGGAGATGCTCAAGCGAGACAGTTGGGACATGGCTGCTCCACCTCTGAGAGCCCTTCTGGCGCTGACACCTCGGGAGGCACGAGGGAGACCTTGTGTCTGCTGCTGTTACTACAGTTAGGCGTTATGTTTTGCAGCACAGGTTGTAAGAGACTTGCGAGGAGGAATACACTTGGTGTTCGCTCCTGCCTCGAGTATCAGAGAAGCCAAGGCCCATCTAAAGAACACTGAGGAGCTGCAGCATTCTCAGTGCCATGCTGCAGAGGACTTCGGGATCTTGCCTCTTCTGATGTCAAAAGCTTCTAGTGCTGAAACGGGACTGGAACAGAGCGTGTGAGCAAAGCACGAGACAGAGCGAATGTCTCTGTTGCACTGTCCCATCTGCATGTGTGCTTCAATTGTTAGTACCTGGAGCCAGTCCCCTTCTGTGCAGTTAGTGGTGTGTACCTGCCAGCTTCTGGTTTTCTCACCTTCGGTAGGCACAGCGTGTGCAGCTCCTGCACATCCTCAGCGTGTGAAGTCGCAGGCAAGTGGAGAAGACCCAGACTGTCCTGTCACGGGAAGATGACTTCAGTCTCCGTTCCATGGCATTGCTAGAGAGCGGACGAAGATGTGTTGTGGTTACGGTTTGGTATAAGGCATGCGTCTTCTATGCCTGTACTGTAAAGCTTTCTGCGTAATGGAGTGTTGCTTGTTGGACTTGAAGGTAATCGAGCTCTCACGTGTCTGGTGTGCTCTACTAACTTGACCTGTTAAATTACCAAAATGAAGAAAAAGTGCAACTAGCAAGACATCTACTACCAAAAAAAACAGACAATGAGTAGCTGTGATCCTTGGCATCATCTAGGTGTTTTGTATGTGCTGCACTTACCCTGGACAGGGCCAAATGCACGTGCAGAGACCAGCACATGGATATCGGGGCCCAGGAAATGCTTCGGGCCCACAGCTGCGGGTTCCCCTTACGGATGTGGCATGCTGTGGGCCTGGGCAGTGTCAGGTGTGCTCAGTGCTGGCATGAGGACCCTGAGAATACTGCTAGTACCTGAGCAGCAGGCACTGGTGGCACATCTTTGGCCTCAGTGGCACCGCAGGTGCTCAGGCTGAAGGCATCGGGCAGCACTGCGGGCGCAAGCGGCGAACCTCTATGCCGTGAGCATTGGTCCTCGGACCACAGTGCAGAGGGACAAGCAGCGGGCAGCGATGCCGTGGGCATTGGGACCTGTGTTATCCTGCGTTTGTGCAAGAGCGGATGCCCGTGTCGCTGGCCCTGAGGAGCACTGGAGGCACGTGAGCCGTGGGCAGCGGTGCTGTGGGCACCACGCTGTGGACCGGACCACCCCCACGGCTGCCAGAGGCTTTGGTACCACTGTGCTGGGCACTGCAGACATGTGGCTAGCACCAGGTCCCCAGCAGCACCGTGGGCACGGGAGGCAGTGAGGTCGTGGGCATCAAGTCCTGGGCACGGCTGCGTGCGATGGACCCAGGACCACGCTGCAGGCGCGTGAGCGACGGCTGCTGCTGCCGGGCTGTGGAGTCCCACGCTGCGCCGCGGGCAGCAGTGCTCAGTCCCAGCAGATGCGGGCAGTGGTGCTGATGCTGCAGGAGTCGCACCGTGGTGACAGAGGCAGAAGGCTGCCGTGCCTTTGTGTTGCTGCCTCTCTGCAAGCAGCAGGGCAGCGATGCAGGTGCAAGAGCAGAGGGGACCCGCGCCACGTCTGTACTTCTGTTGGAGTTGTGCGTTGTTCGTTCTGGATCTTTTTGTCTCTGGAGATAATGACTGTGACCTGTTCTGGTCACCCCCGCTCCAGCTGGAATAAATGTCATATGCCAAACAATTACACTGCATCTGGCTGTTTTGCTATATAGTCTTACAGCTACAGAAAGATGAGTTGCTCAATATCCATTAGAGCAAATCAGAGGTTTCCCTGAGCTTCTGCCATCATTCTTTGTAAATTGGGGGGAAGGGGGCGATGACATGTATCTCTCATGGGATATGGTTTCAACAGATCACAAACAAAAAGGATTTGTGTGTCCAAGAGGCTGAGGGAGTTTACACTTGTTTGTGTACAAATACAGTGTTTCTTTTACAGGAGGAGGCTATATGCGCTCTTGGTGTCAAGTCTGTAGTTTGCCCCAAGATCAGTTTTGTATCTGACATAAAAATAGAGAATGACAGTGCTCCTCTGTATCCCCAGCACAGCTGGGTGTCTAACCAGCAAGGTCCATGCACGGACTGTCTGCTCTACCTGACACTGAACGTGGGCACATCTGACTTGCTGCTCCCGCTGTTCTCTCCAGGTCACTACTGTGTGAGTGCACTGCAGTGGAAGCAGACTTACGTTCTGCTTATCTTTCCTAAACTAGATTAGGCTGATACAGGACTCTCTAAAAGTCTTGTTAAGTTTTGGAAATAAAAAGATTTTAAAAGCTGGGTTTTTTCCAATGTTTGTCAGTATCTTGCAGCAAGAAAATTCCAAACAAGTGAAGCTCCATAGTTTCTCTGAAAGACTTTTTTGTTTGGCTTCGTCTACGGTGAAGTTGTTTTGTTGTTTTGTTGGGGTTTTTTGTTTTTTTTTTTTTTTTCTGGAAAACAAAATATGACCTGGGCAAAAAAAAAAAAACCAAAACTACTGTTTTTGGGAAAGGATGAAGACTGGAATGTTATTCTTCCTTGCCTCCGAAGACAGTGCAATACAAAGTCTGAATGAGGTGGATCATTCAGGTGTGACAGAGACGCCTGTTGCTGCTGAGGATGCGGTACTGGTTGGGTTTAGTACCCTCCTAACATGGGGCATCGTAAACATAAGACTGGCTTTCTATGGACACTACCCCTTCGAATCAAGGACACGGCGGTAGCTCACATTGCTTTCTACTAGCAGCACAAACCCGACCACAACATGGAACCTACAGTGTCTTTGGTCACAACAAGCTCCTTTTTTAATCATATGCCAATAACAAATTATGTCAGGTATTCTGCTGTCACTGACTACTGAATTTAATGGATCGCTTGAATGTCTCTGGCTACTGCATATTTATGGGTATTAGGCTACAGCACCTTGAATTCTCTCAAATAATTTGCAAAAACATTTGATAGATCTGTGGCTGTTGTTGGAGGATGGAGGCCTTGAAACGGTGGTTTCCGAGGTGCCTTTTCACTTCTTCCACAGGTGCCCATCGCTTTTAGTGATGCTCCATTAAGGAGCTTTCTGGGTCTTGTTTGGCTATGATAAACACTAGAATTAAGAAGCTTCTCCAGGCTTCTTCAACAGATGGTTTTTGGCAAATTCTTGCTGTTGTGGGATAGGAGGGAGGATTCAGCTGCTGAGAGAAGGGTCGCTCTGGCACCTCAGGTAAGAGATGTAGGGGTGACCGTACTCATGTCACTAGCAGTCTAATGGAATTTCCCCGGTGTTTTCCTCAGAGAACCGTATGCCTACGGGGATGGCCGAGATGCCAGACGTGACCGCTCCCCTCTCCGGGGGAGCCCACGGAGAGACCCCAGAGATGGCAGGGATGGTAGAAACGGGCGAGATTCCAGAGACACTCGAGACATTCGAGCTAGAGACATGCGTGACACCAGAGACCACAGGGACCCACGGGACCTGCGAGACCCACGGGATATCAGGGATCCAAGGGACTTGCGGGACCCTCGTGACGTTAGAGATCTTCGTGACCCACGGGAGCCACTGTACGATCGATACAGGGATCCATGGGATATGAGAAATCCGCGGGATGTGAGGGATCCACGGGATATGAGGGATCCACGGGATATGAGAGACCCTCGGGACCCTTTGTACAGGTAATCTCCACGGGGCTGTATCGGCCAGCACGTTTTTATGGCGTTCCTGCCTCAGTGGCTGCACTGGTTTGAGTGGGTCAGGCATTTAAGATAAGGAAATTGTTCTGCCTGGGGACAGTTGGCCTGCCGGCTTTGTGTCTTGTGGGGAGCGGCAGGCACTTCAGGGATTAAACTTGAGGAAAGTGTGTGTGATGCACTGGCCAAAGTTACTGCCTGAAGGTGTGCTGCAGCATGGAAACCCTTGCTTCTGTAAATGTTGCAGACGAGATGAAGCTTACGACCGTTACCTTCGCCTTGAGGACTACTATCGGCGGAAGGACGACTCTTACTATGACCGTTACAAAGAGCATTTTGACAGAGCACCAGTGAATTCGGAAGGTGAGTGCCTGTAACGCTGTCACGGGCAGATTCCTGTCCTCCCCGTGGGAGGATGCAGGAGGTGCCTGCCGTGCTGAGTGTGTGGAATTCTGTGGCGTTTTGAGGAAGCCCAAAGAGCATTATTTGTTCTGTCCCTGTGGCTTGCTTTCAGACCGTCTGAAGCGTGAGGAGCGGCGCCGAGAGGAGCTGTATCGTCAGTACTATGAGGAAATCAAGAGACGTTTTGATGCAGAGAGACCTGTGGATTGTTCTGTGATAGTGGTGAATAAACAGACAAAGTAAGAAAATAATTACGACCAATTTTATTATTGCATGGTAGAAGAAAATGGAATTAAACTTAGTCCTGCCTTGAGTCTGTTTGTGTTACAGGTTGCTCTTGAGGAACGTGGCTTTAGAGCCCTCAGAAAGCTACAGCTCCTGTTGCTGTTCTCTCAGTATATGTTGATGAGGTGGAGAAGTGTATCTTGTGCTTTACTTCGATTTCCTTCTTGTCACCTATCACTGTACCTTCTGATACTTTTCTACCTACTCTTCATATCAGCCTACTGTTGTGACAGGTTATAGTGGCCTGTACTTGTTATTCATGGGCTGAATGATATGGAACTTACTAATATGTGCCAGCCAGCGCAGTGCAGAGCAGTTGTCTCTGTGGAGTCATGGGAGTGTTTGTTTCGGAGCTCCTGTCAGATTGGTTACTAGGCCAGGTACCTGTCATTGCCATTAATCCAATGTACAAGAAGTATAAAATCACTGTTGAAAGTAGTTGTGAACAATATCAAAAGCCTATGGAAGTGGTAACCAGGGCGGTCTCATGTGGCAGTCTGAACACTTCCTGAGGTAACGGGGCAGGCGCCGTGTGGGGAGCAGGGGTGTACACCTGCACCTGGCAGAGTGGGAGGGAGACTGTAATGGTGATACCAGTTTGATGTCTGCATCTTTATGAATAAATATATTGAAGAATAGCAAATACATGAATAAATCATAGATCTGTCTTGGCGTCTGAAGAAATTGTTTGTCAAGGAGAAATTTAAAGCTGTCTTCTTAGCCCCTTGGAACAGAGATCAAGAGTTGCTTTTGTTTAACACCGCTGTATCTGTGAGGCAGAAAGAGGGCTGGCACTTGCCTCATCTGCTAGTAGAAGACAGAACAGGAAATTGGAACAAGGGAAGCAGTGAAACTAGAAATAAACTTCTGTGGTTTGCTTTTAATGGAATTGATTACCTATCGGAACAAATCTTTAAGGGAGATTTTAGATTCTTTATCCCTTGATGACTAAAAGTCTTTGGAAGATGCTCTAATAGACCACAAGTTATTGTACTTGATACAGGGAGATTTTTTTTGTGCAAGAGGATCAGCTTAACATCCTAAGGAATCATTTTGGTCTGTAAACAGCTACCAACCTTAAGAGCAGGGGCATGTTAATAAATCTTGGATATTGGATCATTGATGTCACCTACTATAGACCTGTTGAAAGATGACTCTCGAATGACTTAGAAATCCTTAAAAAGATAGTTGGGGGGCGGGGCTGGAACAATTTCAGTCACCATTACAATGTTCGTATCCAAAGACAATAAATTGAAACTCTTTCAAAAGGTGTGGGTGCACGCAGACTAAATTTCTCAGAATGCATATGCAGTCAGTATTGTGGTTTTGGTACCGAGTATAATAAGCTTAAAAAAGGAGTTGAAAACTTTAAGCTCAGCCGTGAGAGCTGTGGATGGTGCTTGTAATGGGAAGTCTGCAGGACAGTGGATACAGGAGTAGAGGCTCCAGAGATGCTGTGTTGATACTGGGTTAGAGCAGAAAGGAGCTAGTAGAACAGAAGAGGAGGACAATCAGGAGTAATGTGCATCTGAACAGTTCAGATACTGAACACAGAACAAGTAACTGACTTCTGTAGGTTGGCTGTTCTGCTGTGTACCCCTCAGATCTCTACAGGCATAAATTACCTCAGTTAATGAGTTTAAACACGTTTGTATGTAAACAAATTTATAGTAGTGTAAATCCCTTTGCAAACACTCTGTTTCTCAGCTAAGCTAAGGCTTGATTTGTAATTTATTTCAGTTAAACTGAAATGACTGACTCAGATCAAAATAAGGGCTTCTGTGTTATGGTAATGAGATTGCTTTAATACTGTCCTGTTGAACATTATGTAGTTTGGCAAGCCATCAGAAAAGCGAATCTGAGATGACAGAGAGGGTGAATGTGCCAGGGTTTCTGTTTCTGTATGTGACTGACTTGTTCAACTCTGCTGGCTTTGCTTTGTGGTAGGGACTACGCGGAGTCGGTGGGGCGGAAAGTGCGGGATCTGGGCATGGTAGTGGACCTGATCTTCCTCAACACAGAGATGTCACTGACGCAAGCCCTGGACGATGTGAGCAGAGGCGGGTCTCCTTTTGCCATTGTCATCACCCAGCAGCATCAAGTTCACCGCTCTTGCACTGTTAACATCATGTTTGGCACCCCGCAAGGTACTGAGGTCTCGGTAGGCCGTGTGGTTTCTCTGAACTGCTCAGAGGGCTGCTTTACAACACTGGCAAGCAGAATCGCACAGGACAGAGTTCATCCTTGCTGTGACATAAGTAGTTATTAAAGACTTGACACCATACCATAAATGTGAATGTCATTATGTAAAAGCTTCTGTAATGCTTTATTTGTGCCATGTCAAGGGGGCTGTCTGATGTCTGCCAAGAGGGAATCTCAGCTGCGTTCTTGGCACCTGACATCACCAGCCTTTGCACCTTGGGCCAAGTCGTGAACCCGTGCTCTAGAAATGACTGCATTGCCTCAGTAGATTTCTGAGTAATACCGGTCCAACCTCAGTTTATCACTTGTTGCTCTCAAAGAGAGCATGTTTGGAATGTGACAAATTGCAGGACAGATTTTAAAGCCAAATGTGATTTAAGGAAAACAGAGTAAAGATAGTGTATCCAGTCCAGGTAAACTAGACCCGTGAAACTGGGAAGAGCTACAAAAAGATAGCGCTATAAAGTGATTTGGTACACATGCTCCATCTTTTTAGCACCATTTACGCTTGTCACATCACTTTCCATCTCAGGGTGTGACTTGGTGGTTGTGAGTGTGAGAGTGGGTGTAAGTATTAAAAAAACATCTTTGCGGAATGTGATCTCAGAAAGCAGCCTTTTGCTCTGATCACAGGCCTGGTCACGTACTCTGTTCACACAGGTGACTTGTTTGACTGCAGTTGAGCTTTCAAAGGTTTTCTCCCTTACTGTGCTCTCAAGTAATGTTTTCTGAGGCTCATCTGGGAGGGTGAACTTGCGAATGCAGAGTCCACTGGTTTTTGTGTGCGCACTGACAGAAGAAGCCTGGTTTCTTTTAAAACCAGATGCAGATGTGTGTGTGGGGGGGTTGCCTCGTTTCCTGCAGCTGGTGCATACTTTCACTGGGCTGTCCACTGCCCTTGCTTTTAACTCCTTTGGTTTAACACCCGTCCTCCCACTAAAGCTTCTCTTCTTTACTGGATCTAACAGTGTATCAGAGCTGATAAGAGTCCCAGTCATTAGCGCATCCACAGCTCCTTCTGGAGATTAAACACGTTCACTTGAACTGCATGCGGCCACTTTCCCATTCACGTTAGTTTCAGGAACTCGTTCACAACTTGTACAAAGTGTCATGTTAAAATGAACCCCAGTTTCCTGTTACAAGGCAGAGGGTGGCAGGATTTGATATTCTGCAGGTGTGAAAAGTGCCCAGAACTTTGGGCACTTTTTGGACAGTAAAGGCTCTTTTGGTTTCCCTGCTTAAATCTGTGTTCAGGGGAGTGCTTACGTGCGTGCTTTGTGAGCTGGAAGTAGTGACCTCAGAAACTTTAAAAGGCAACTACAAAAAACCCCCCAACATTGGAATTGACCGTTATTCATTGTATTCTAGAACTTGATTGCTGCTTATTGCCCCGGAGTAGTAAACGTAAGCAGCAATGTGACATTGAGAGAGTGCTTCTTTCCTCCCCATCTCCTGCATATGCACACCCTATGTTAAGGCATCGGCAGGACAGAACCAAAAAGTGTTCCCATTGCTGTCCTCCTCTGGGCGGCCTTTGCAGTCGTCAGGGGACAAGTTGTAGATCTGTCCAAGGGTTTAGCAGTAGAGTGGCTGGAACTGTCTCCTCCTGGAGGACGGAGAATTTATGTGAGAGGTAGAGGGAGCTGCTTTCCCTTTTAACCGGGTGAGAGGCAAGAAAGACATTTCCTGAGCTGATACAATATCCTCTCAGAGCCCTTGGCTATGAAAGAAAAGGATGGCCTTGCTGGGTGATAGCCTTGAGCCTCCTGTTGGCTTAGCAAATTGTCACGGTGCGCCGAGGGCGATGCTCACGTCTGTGCTTGCAATCCCAGAGTGCTGCCTGCCTGCTGAAGGAGATGTGCTGGTGTGCAAGGCAAGGCACCGCCTGTTGACGTCACTCTGGTTTACTTAAAACGTTTCTTTTCCTTGTGCAGAGCACCGCAACATGCCCCAGGCTGATGCCATGGTGCTGGTGGCGAGGAATTACGAGCGCTACAAAACAGAGTCACGGGAGAAGGAGCGCGAGGAGATCGCCCGCCAGGCTGCCAAGATGGCAGATGAGGCTGTTCTGCAGGAGCGGGAGCGCCCACCCGCCGCGGAGGAGGGCGCCAGGGGAGGTCACCCCCCAGGGATTCAGACTCTCTTGAACCTGCTGGCAGACAATCGCTATCTCACCGCCGAGGAGACTGATAAAGTAATTAATTACTTGAGAGACCGGAAGGAGCGGTTGCTGAGGGGAGGCAGTGACTCTCTGCAGGGTGAGTTTCTCAGCCCCAGCTAAGGCTGTTCATCGTATGGCTGGTGGGGCGGGAGAACAGTCCTGGGGCTGCAGAGGAGTCCTAGTGTCAACCTCCTCACGCAGCACCTCAGTTTATTGAGAAGGACGTGTCCTTGGGAAGTCCTGAGACGATTCAGATCTCTCACACGAAAGAGCTTTCATACTGTATTCTCTCGGGGAGACCATGGGACTGCCATACCTGGTTTGGCTGCTGCATGACAGGCAGCAGTTCTGCTGAGTGGTTTGGGTTCCCGAGAGCTGTGCAGCTCTCCTGTTCAGAGGGTGGGCGTTCATTGGTGCTTGTGCCTTTTGTAGCTGTTTCAGTGGTTTTCTGCGGGTGACCCTTCAAGGGCATTTGCAGAACTTTAACCCTCTTTCTTTTCTTTCCCAGCGTCCATGTCAAGACAGTCTTTGGGGGCACCTTCAGGATCATCACTGGGTAGTCAGTCCAGCCTTCCAAGCTCTCAGGCTCATCAGGGTTCACAGCCTTTGGTCTCTGCTCCTTCTGTTCCAGTGTCCTCGTCTAATCCTCAGCAGGAGCTTCAAGCAAAAATCCTCAGTCTCTTCAACAGCGGGGCAGCAGCTGCGGTAGCAAACAGCAGCTCTGCAGCCTCTGCGGGCCCTTCGGGCAGCGCTCCGAACCAGAACTTTGCAAACATGGCCAGTGGGCAGGCCCGGCCAGCACAGATGAGCGCTGGAAATTTAAACCAGGCTCAGCAGAGATTGCAGACTCCAAGCACGCAGCTTCCTGCTCTCCAAGGCCCTTCAAGAAATGCAGGTCCAAGACCTGGAGCTCCTCCACAAGCTCAGCCACTCTATGGTCAGCACCAAAATCGCCTCCCTGCACCTGGCAATGTACCTGCTCAAAGGCCAGTATCTTCTGGTATCAACTTTGACAACCCCAGTGTACAGAAAGCCTTGGACACCCTTATCCAGAGTGGTCCCGCACTCTCCCACCTGGTGAGCCAGACCGTGGCCCAAGGGCGAGCAGGGTCCTCAGCCCAGCAACCTATGGGCTCCTACCAGCGACACTATTAAAGCTGAGCTGTCAGGCCCTTTCCCCTTCCCTTTGCCATTCCATACTCATAGCTGTTTAAACAGTCTCCTACCCTTGACACAGGCCAAGTGCCCCTGGATATGCATGTCCTCTCCACTTCGGCGAGAGTGTACCCCCAGCGGCATTGCTGCTGACTGTGACTAGCGCTGCCCGTCCTCACCTTGGTCTGGTTAGCAGTGTTTGGAGAAGTAGGCCCTGTTTTCTCAGTGGCATGATGTGCTAAGAGCTGCTTTGGATAATCGGTTGTTTTGTCTGGTCCGGGAAGCTGCTGCAATGACAGCCCTCCTGCGTTTTCCTCACCCCCAGAAGCCGGTGCGTCTTCACAGTGTGATGCAGTCTGGTCTCGCTGAATGGTCTTAGCATAGTTTAATGGTTAGTGGTTTTGAGGAAATACGGGGCTGCACAGAGCGGGACACTGACTGGGCCTTCTTGGAGACCCACCTTTTTGGAATGGGCACTACTTTTCTTTGGATTTCTTTTTTTATTTCTTTTGTTAATGTCATATAAGCCTGTTGGAAAGTACAGTGGTAGCGCTAGCAGCTGAACTCATGAAGCACATGCCTGACCACTACTCAGTGACCCAGGACTGTGCCGTGTGGCCCGTCTCTGGCTGGACTGTCACATCCTGGCAGAGCGAGGCGGAGGCGCGCTCCTCACCTCACCCAGCTCACGGAGGCTGCCGGCTGTGCTCTGAGTACTGTGGCAGAAATGAAACACGAGAGCTTCCAGCCAAGGCAGGGACTTCAAACGGTCTGTCAATCTTCCTACACCCAAGTAGTCAGTGTTAAGATCAGTCTGCTAAATTTGGCATATAAATTTCCTTTTCTTACAATCTTGCTTTGGGATGGTTGGCTACTGTAGCCCAACAGCTCAGCCGCAGCCCCACTGACGTGGTGCTGGCCCTCCCTCGGGAACACCTGCAGCCGGTTACCGGGTGGTGAACGTCTACTCTCTGCAACTTCATCTCACTACTGATTGGTGTTTTGTCCATCTAAGGTGGAGAGGCAGTGCCAAGATGCAATACCATAATTTTATACATTTTTTTCAACACTTTGCTAGCTGCAGCGGACAGTTGAGTGGAAAATCGGGCCGTGATTCTTCACCGTGTTTTTAAGCAGTAACATGATTTGATACCAGAACACAGAACATCTCTTAACTATGTGGTCCTCCCCGTCACCGCCTTCTTAGAGTCTGTAGGCTTCCTGCAGAGAACTAAGAGAAACTAAGAAAGCAGTGTTCTTGGAGCAGAGGGTTCTCTTTGTTCTTTGTCCCAGGTGGTTTGTGTTGTAGCATTTTTTTTTTTCTCTGTGCTGTTAACGAGAGGACATTACTTTCTAATAAAAAGGCAGGAAAAATGTTTTGTTGCGTTTTTGACACTCGACAGCTTGAGTACTACTGGAATGCGTTATTCCTCTGTGTTTGCCACTGCGCTCTTCTTCCCGATGAGCTGTCAGACGCTGCCCAGCACTGGATGCTAGGCCGAAAGCGTACAGACCTGACCGTGACCCGCTGGGAGAACCCTGTGTCTGCCTCGGGTTGTAACGCTTCGGCTCGGGGGTGCCTCACGGATACTCTGGGGCCGCGGACTCGGTGATCTCGGGGAGCAGCCCAGGTGCCCCTGGAGGGACCCGCAGGCCCGGGGCCGGCGTGAGAGGGGCGAAGCCTCCCGGGCTGCTGCTGCCGGGCGGGCAGGGGCTGCTCGGGCTGCTCTGGCGCCCGCCCGCAGTTGCTGTTAATTGTCCGGCGGCTGCGAGCGCTTGGGGCGCAAGTACCTGTGCGTTCAGCACCGGCCTGCGCCGGCTGAGTGCTGCCGCTGCTGCGCCACCTGAGGGGACAGAAGGACGTCCGTCCGTCCGTCCGCCGCCTTCCCCCCTCCCGTCTCTTTTTGTTAGGTCCCTTTCTCCGGCTCTACAACCGTGCAGACAGGTGAAGCGTCTTTGACGGGGTGATGGGAAATTTGCCTGAGCTTAGACGTGGGAGCTGTGGCATTTGGGAGAGCCTGTTCCTCTCCCGATGTTTTGCTTCCTCTGCCTTCTGCGGCTGCCCGTTAGGCCTTGCTCCTTGTCGTGGAACGGGTAGCAGCCAAGTGCAAAAGAGCTGTGGAGACCCTAGGAGCAAGTGAAAACTCCCCGTGCAAGAAGTGAAGGGTGTAATAAAATCATTTATTGCATTTTGTGCAGACAGGAGTCTAGAAAAATGAGTACAGTTAAAGCAGTAAAGCATTAACAGGGAGCATTCAACAGCCGAGGAGCCACTCCTCCATTAATACCTGCACAGAGAACACAGGGTCTGTACTGAGGCGGCCTAGTGCACGATACTGAAACACTCACAGAAATTAAATGCAAGCCTAATACTCTTTTTTTTTTTTTTCTTTTCTTTTCTTTTTTTGGTTTGCAACCCGTTTTATTTACAAGGTTTTAAACTTAATTGCATTGCTCTGCACGAAGATTCTCTAAAACACAAAGCATACTAGGTCACTACATGTCTATTGAAATATTGCACTCGAATAAAAGTCACTCGAATGGACGTAGAACATCTAGCTACAGTGATTAAAAGATTATCGAATGAACTGACTCTGTGATAACATTCATAACAAATATATTGCACATGTAGCACAGAAAGTGTTGTCACCAGCAAATCTCAGACCTTCTGGTCTCGCTGCTAGTTTTTAGTCCTGCTACACAGAGGAGGGTCTTGACTCTTGTAGTGCAACTCTCGCCCTCGTGCAGCATCTCGTCCTTCCCCCGGCCCAGCACCGGCCCAGGCCGGGCGCTGCCTGCGCCTCCCGCAGTGCCGCCCCGGGGGGAGCCGGGGCCGGGGCCGGGGGGGGCCTGTGCCCCCCAGCTGGCAGGGACAGGGCAGCCCCCCCGCGCTCCGGCGCCAGGAGCCGGAGCGGAGCAGAGGCCGGTGCCGCGCGCCGGCGGGATGCGGCTGCGGGTCTGCGCGCTCCCCGGGCGCTGCGGGCCACCCCGGCCCGCTCAGCGCCGCGCACGGCAGCGGCCCGCCTGCGGAACAGGCCCGGGGGTCGAGACCTTCCTGTCTGGAACAAAAAACCGAAACGTGTCTGCGCATGTGCCAGGGAGGAACTTGCGTGTCTACCAGAGGAGGACACTGTCTTCACCAAGGTGGAACGGCAGAAGGGTGCTCCGTGGGGAAACTGAACACTCACAGAGGCCAAACGTGCAGGGCTGGGTTTGTAAACTAACATGCAGTGCTGTCTGCTAAAACTGGCCCTCTCCAGCCTACAGCGAGCGAGAGCTCGCGCTCGCTGTGGAAACCAGCACCTTTCTTGCCACAGCCGAATTTTGCCTGGCGGGGGTGATGAGGCAGCCCTGGCTCTCTCTAGAGCTGTGCCCCTGCTCTTGCTGGAGGGTGAGGGAGGGGAACGCCTTTTTTCAGCAGCACCGGTGGGAAGGGCTCGCTTTCCTGCTCCCCGGGGGAACCGGGACCGTGGCTTTACCAGCGGGGGTAGAAGTGGTGCTGAGGGGGCAATGGGACCCGCGGGTGGTGCTGGGGAGGCGATGAAGCAGACCTCTCGGCGCAGGAGCGTGCCCCAGCCCCGCTGCCTCACGGCTGCTCTGCTGGCAGCGCCGTTCCCTGCCACCCCCAGGGGCTCTTTGCCCTGACGCTGGCTGCAGCCCCGGCAGAGGCAGGCGCTGCGGGTCACCTGCCTCTGCCCTGGGGACCCGCTCCCTGCGCCGGGCTGAGCCAAGCTGGAATGAGAGGGTGACTGCAGGGGGCACCTTGGAAGAGGCGGAGCAGCTGGCAAGCGTTCTAGGTCCGGCAAGCGTGGTGCTAGCACGTGAGATGAGTGGGCAGGGTGCTGTGCGTGCCTCCCCTGTTGCTGCAGAAGCGCCTCAAATAATTCGGGGAGGCTGGAAACAGCACGTGAGCTTGTGTGTGGAGGTGTAGGACCAGGTCCAAGGGGCAGAGCAGCTAGAGACTGGCAAATCCTGCTTCCCATGGGGCTGCCCTTCCCAAAGCTAAAGGAACTTTACACTTGCAGATGCCTGCCTGCTCTTCCAACAGCTCCCGAGCAGCTGAGGCAGCGGCAGGACCAGAGAGGGCTGCCCTGTGTGTCTGCACCATCCCTCAGCCCGGAGCTCCTGTGCTGAAACCAGGTCTCAGCTCTCCACAAGTCACCTCCTGTAAACACCAAGCTCCCCACGCCCTTGGGACCGGCTTCCGCACCACAGCCTGCAGCAGACCAGTGCAGCCACGCAGGTATCCAAGCTACCATGGCAGAAAGTCTGGCTGTGGCTGGGGTTGCTGCTGGAGAGAAGGGAGGCACTTTGGGAGTGATGGAAATGTCGGAGCAAGGCATGAGCAGGCACAGATGTGCAGCTGGGGCTTGGTTTTGGTCTGGGAGTGTGTCTAAGTAGTATCTTAAATCAAAAAAAACAAAGAACCCAACATGAAGAAACCCACTGCTTTTTACCCGAGCAGCCCCACATAGCTTTGGCCTGGACCTGGAGGAGTAGAGGAACTCTGCAGAGGGAGCGGGGACTGGAGCCATCCGGTGCGCAGGGAGGGTCCTGCTCTCGGGGAGGCTGGGGGGGTCAGGCGGTGCAGGGCAGCTTTGGGGAGCAGGTTGGGGGGGGGGCAAGGGGGGCGAGCGCTTCAGCGCGGGGGCTCAGCTCTGGCCGGAGGGGGGGGGGTCAGGCTGGCACAAAGCAGCCAGCACTGCCGGGAGAGGGCAACTCTTAGCGGGCTGCACTTCGAGTGGAAGCTCAAATCTGCTGTGAAACAAGTTCAGAAAAGTCTGTGACTTCTTTTCCCTGAAAACTCTTAAGAAGCTAAATTGAGAAGAGAATAAACCTGTGACCTGGCCCTTTCCCAGGGGCTGCTGGTGGCCGGGGAAGGCTGCAGCCTTCACCACTGCTCCAGCACACTCGGTGTGACGGGTGGGCACCCGTGTTGTGCAGGAGCAGCCTGTCTCGGCTCTCCATCCCCACGGCCTGGTGCTAGCAGAGCCCTGCATCTCTCAGAATAGATATAGATCTCTATATATAGACTTCATCTGGTTCTATTAACATAAATATGATCACTTTAAAAATACACGTACTGTATTATGTACACTATGTACATGGGGCCGGGGTGGGCGCCGGCAGGCGCCCTGGCTGCCCTCGGCACCGCTTCCTGCGTGGTTCCTGGAACCATTCACATTTGTTAAAAGCTCCTCAGTTTCTCTGGCGTGAGAGATGCTGGGGGTGGGGGGACGACGACAGGGGGGGACCCTGGAGCTGCTGTTTGAACTGTCCCCCTGCACGCGGGGGCTGCGGGACGGGACGGGCTCGGGGCTGCAGCGGCCGCGGGGCCGGTGCCTGGGCCGCCCTGGCCAGCCCGGAGAGGGGGCAGTGGGACCCCTCCAGGCACCCCTTGCCACGGGGTCCGGGACCAGGCAAACGGACTTTGCATATGTTAAAACTACGCGCAGATCCGGACTTCCCTACAGCCCCGTGGCAGCGTCTGCGAGTGCCTGGGGCCGGGGCCCGGTTAGCAGCGAAGCCCTGGGGAGCAGCAGGGAGCACAGCGGGGCACGGGGGGGGCCCGGATGCATGTGCAGGTGCTGGGGGGGCCGAGAGCCCCCAGTGCAGGGTGGCGGGGGAGCGGGGCGGGGGGGAACAGGGTGGGACAGGACTCCTCTGCGCAGGGGGTCAGCGGCACCCACGCAGCTCCAGCGGCCGCAGAGCGGCTCCAGCTCACGCTGCGCGCGGCGGGGCCTCCGCTCGGCTCCCGACACCGCAGCTCCGCGGCACGACCGCGGCACAAGCACCAGGAGAGCGTCGGGGCAGGGAGAGCCTGGAGCCAGTGGGGAAGGGGGCGAGGGAGCACCCCCCACCCACCCCCGCCCCGGGCTCATACTGTCGTGGGATTGCTGCGGTCCAGCACCCGACCCCCCCGCGGCTGCCCCCCACCCTCTGCCCTCTCCAAACCGTCACGCTGCATCTCCACAAGCTGGGCCCACAGCCTCCGGAGACGGGCGGCGCGAGGCAGCAGCGCGGTGGGGCCGTCCAGGCCCGCGGTGGCGAGGGGCGGCCGGGGGGCAGCGCCGTGGGAGGCAGCCCCGGGCGCTGCCGGAGCGGGGGAGAGGAGCGTCCGGCGAGGAAAGCGTGCTGGTGGCCTCTCTCTTCTCCCGGCGCGGGCGGCCGCGGGGCACAAGCTCCGCGCAGGGGTGGCTGCACGGTGGGGCCGGGAGCCCGTCCTGGCACAGCCGCCCTCCTGCCCGGCCGGGGCTGCGAGCAGCAGCGCTGGGGCTGGCGCTGCCGGGGACGGGCAGCGGCGGCAGCACTGGGCTCTGGTGCTCAGTCCGCGGTACACTGTATATATTTATATATAAACAAGGACAGCAGTGCTGTGATGTTGCAATGAGGAACAGCTGCTCTGGTGCTGGATGCTCCCGGAAGATCTGGTGCTGCAGTTCGAATGGAGAGATCAGGGGCACGGCCAAAGCCAGGTGAAGTTTCTGTGCACCGGCTGCCATCAGGCCTTCCCTCCTCCCCTCCAGGAGCACGGTGCAAAGGGGTGGCGGGGCTCTCAGCGTGCAGACAAACCTCACTCGCGCGCCGTGTTTCAGGAGTAGATGGTGATGACCTCCCGACCCCCACCGCGCACCAGGAGCACTCGGTCCAGGTGCTCCGTCAGCACCTCCAGGAACTCCATGTCTGCCCGGCCGTCAAGGAGGAACAACGCCACAACGGAGCAAGGGGCCAGCCCAGCACCATCCCTGCCCGGCCCCATGGCACCGACACTGTGAGCCCCTGCACCGGAGCCGGGGGCTGGGGGGGTCAGTCCTGTGTCGAGGGGCCGGGGGGGCCCACTCACGCTGGCTCCGCACAACGGGGAAGGGGGCCGAGCGGCACAGCAGGCAGCCAAGCCCCGCAGGTCTGCGCCCGTGTCCCTGAAACGCGCCGTCGTGCTCACACGTGTGGGTGCAATGCCACGCAGCTCCCACCACCCGCCCCGCAGGCATCGGCTCTGCCGGACAGGCAGGCTGTGCCAGCGACCGCTGTCGCACCCAGCCAGGCACAGGAGGCGTGGGAGGGTCTGGGCTCGGGTGCCTGACCTGTGCCCGCCGGCACTCGCCTGCAAGATCCACCAGCCTTGGGGGAGCTGCGGCCCCCCCTGCAGAGAGGGGTCCCTGCGCCAGCCCCAAGGCAGCAGCCCTGCGGGAAGGATACAGTTCTCATCCCCTTTCCGGTTGCGGGGAGGCCCCGGCATGTTCAGCAGGACCAGCTTGGCGTCCTGGGACTTCTTCACAATCACCTCGTTGAGCTTCACAGCCGTGTGCATCCTCCGCACGTTGGACTGGTTCCTGGGGGCGACAGCACATGTGGGGCACAGCCCCACACCAGCCCCAAGGGGCCACGGGGCGGGCTGGCCTCCTGCCCCAGAGCGGGCTGGGGCTGGGCTGCGGCACAAGCTGCGGGTACAGCAGGCTCTGAGCCTGCACCAGCGGCTGGGAGCCGCAGGGCCACGCACCGGGCCCGTGGGCAGTGGCACGCCGTGGCTGCGCGGGACCGAGCCCTGTGGGAGTGAGCAGGAGCAGCCAGCACCCGCGCCGCCACGGGTGCCCAAGCCCAGGCTTGCAGGAGGCTGCCGGCAGCGTAACGGGGCAGACAGGGAGCACGCAGCGTGGGCACCACGCGGCGCGCAGAGCCCGCCCCGGGGCTGGCAGCCACGGCCCCCGCATGCCGCCTGGGTGAGATGTCTCGCACGGCACCGGCAGCAGCTGCCGCAGCGCACCGAGCCGCCCTCGTGCACGGGGGCAGCCCCGATGGCTGCGGGCACGCTGCCCCACGAGCAGTGGCCCGGCTCCCCCCCCCCCGCCCCGGGACCCGGCCCCCAGCCAAACCCAGACTTACAGGTTCTCCCACTCGCTGCCAGGAGCACAATGGGGCCGGGGGAGAAAGAGAAAGAGAGAGAAGAGGTGAGAGCTGAGTGTGCGCCCCGAGTCCCTGCAGCGCTGCCCGGGCGCCCCGGCCCTCGCCAGCGCAGGTCTGCGCGGGGACCCTACCCCCCCCCGCCTCCCACCCAGCCCCTCCGCAGGGGCAGGCTCAGGGCACCCGGGCTGCCAGACCCCCTCCTCAGGGCAGGGACCGCGCTGGTGCTGCCGGAGCCCTGCCTGCACCCGCCTGGCCCAGGCGGGCAGCGATGGCCGGGGATGCAGGGTGCAGGTGGGACAGGGTGGCAGCATGTGGGGCCGTACGGCTTCATGCTGAAGAAGTCCTTGATGCCCTCAGGGCTGACAGGGCTCTTGCTCTTGTTCTTCTCGGCGACAGACTTCTCCTTGGTCCAGGTGAGATGCACCTTCTCGGGGGCCGTCTCCACCTCGTCGCCGGGGGACTGGGAGCTGCTGGAGAAGGTGGTGGCGTTTTTGTCGTGGATGAGCTGGACCTGCAGAGAGGAGAGGGGGACGGTGGGCAGGGGCCAGGGCCAGCTGCCTGCCCGGGCCCCATCCTGGCGCAGCCCCTCACCTCCTCCTCTGGCTTCTCCTCGCTGTCGCCCACCTGCTCCTCGGGGACGCTCAGGCGCAGGCGCGTGTTGGCCGGGTTCTTGCGCCGGATGGAGCCGCGGGACTCGTCCGTGATGCTCTGGATCTGTGTGGGACAGGGTCAGCGGGGCAGAAGAGGCCTTGGCCAGGCAGACCCGAGCCGGCAGCCCCAGCTCCCCGGCAGGATGAGTGCGCAGAGCTGTGGGGCAGCTCGGTCGGCAGCACAGCCACCACAGGGGCTGGATCCCACCCAGGCTGTCCTGCACCTCACCTCCCGCTCCCGCTCGTTCTTGGTGAGGTGCATTTGCTTGAGGATCTGGGAGCGCTGCTCCATCACCAGCGTCTTCTCGTAGGTGTAGGCAGAGATGTCGCTCTCATGCTGTGGAGGGGGACAGGAGAAACCACGGGGCAGGGTGAGCTGCACCCATCGCTCCCTGACTGGCCCTGCATCCCTCGGTGAACCTACGTGTCCCCATGACGCTGCGTGTCCCCGTGGTGCTGTGTCCCACTGTGGAGCTGCGTGTCCCTGTGGTGCTGTGTCCCCCCGGGGCAGGGTCTGTCTGGCTGTCCCACATGCAGCATCCCAGGCTGCGACACGCACCCCATCCCAGCACTCACCATCTCCACCACCTCCACCTCCGCAGTGATGCGCAGGTGGTACAGGAACGTGGTCAGGTCCTTCTTCATCTGGATGCTGTTGTCGTCCATCTGTGCCACCGTGAAGATTCGCATCTTGCACTTGCGCCAGACCTGCGAGGGAGGGAGGGATGGGCACGGCTCGGCGGGGATGGCCCCGGCCCCGGCCCCGGCCCCGGCCCCGGCCCCGCACCGCGGGGCCCAAGGTACCTTGTGGTGCCGCAGGAGGAAGGGCAGCAGCATGAGCATCCCCCCGTCATGGACAATCCACCAGACGTCGATGTGGCCCTCCGAGAAGCGCTCCTGGTTGCCCGGGAACATGGCGACATTCTTGGCCACCAGCAAGGCCAGGTGCCCGGCCGTGGTCTCTCGCACCAGCTCTGGGAGGGGAAGGTCCAGGTCAGCCGGGGCGGCTCGCAGCCCCCCCGGCCCAGCGGCACCCACCCTCCGCGGTGCCTACCGATGAAGTTCCTCCAGGTCTGGTGGTCCTCCTTCTGGCGCCAGCTGCGGGGCCAGCCCACCAGCACCGTGTTGTGCTGCAGCCCCCCCAGCCCGCTGGACTGGATGAGGTGGGACATGCCATCGCGCAGGTTGGAGGAGATCACCACCTGGCAAAAGCCCTTCACCTTCTCCGCTTCCATCAGCCGGCGAATGGACTGGCGGGGGGAGAGGGGGGTCAGAGCCCGCGGTGCCCGGGGACGGGCGCTTGCCGCTGGCACGGCAGCCGCCAGCCCCGGCACCAGCACCCTGGCCAGGCAGGGCGCGGGGCGCAGGGCGCGGGTGCAGGTTGTGGGGTGCCCAGGTCTCTGCGCCCCACGGCACGCCGGCGGCTCTGGGCCGGGAGGGATGAGGCCTGGCGGTGAGCAGAGCTGGCGCGCGGCTCTACGCCGTGCCGAGCGGAGGGTGTCCCTGTGCCAGGGCTCTGATGGGCGGCGGAGCAGCAATTAGAGTTATTTACTCAGAGAAATTATAACATGTCTGCATGGGAGAGAAACTGTTTGCTTCCGAGGGCTTAATCTCATTAATGTGCCACCCGGCTGGTGCGGAGGGGTGGGGGTGGGGAGGGCTCTCGCTCCGGCGCGGAAAGGCTCCTGCCCCCGGCCCTGCCCGGCACCGGGGCCGTGGGGGCCGTGGGGAGGGTGGGGGCTGCGGGGGCTGCAGGGCAGCTGAGGGGGTGCTCAGCACAGCAGCCCCCTGGACGGGCACCGTGCCGTGCCGTGCCAGGACATGCTGTGCCATGCCGTGCCATGCTGTGCTGCGCCATGCTGTGCCGTGCGGTGCCATGCCAGGCCACGCCACGCTGTGCTGTGCCAAGCTCTGCAGCAGCTGGCCAAGACTGGGACCAGTGCCCAGCTGGTGCTGGTGTGTCTGGGGAGGGGGGCAGGGGTCTGGAGGTCCCCTCAGTGCCCCAAGCACCGGTGAAGTGTGGAGCCTTTGGGCTCTGCCCAGGGCTGCCCTGGTGCTCTCCCGGCAAGCGGGGCTGCCCGCCCTGGCCGTGGGGAAGAAACGGGGCTCCTGGGGACGGCTGCGGGCACACGGGAATCTCTCACCTCCTCTGCCCTCTGCGCCTGCGGGTGGTTGTCCAGGAAGGTCCCTTCCAGCACGGAGGCCACGATGGTGAGGCCCTTGCCGGCCTTGAGCTGCGACGTGAAGGACAGGAGCTGCGGGTGCACCACGTTCTGCTCCTGGTCCCCGCGGACCAGGACCAGCAGCTGCGGCCTGGAAGGACGGTCCTGCAGTCAGTGCCCGCGCCCTGCCCGGCCCCCCCGCAGCCCCCCCGGCCCCAGCCTGGCCTCACCTCCAGTTCTTGGTGTGGGGGGGCCCCTCCTCCAGCCGCAGCAGGGCGTAGCGGGCTGCGCTCAGGGACAGCCCCCGGATCCCGTCGCCCCACTCCTTCTCCGCCCTGTGGGAACCGGCAGCGCGTAAGAGACGTCCACGGCTCCGGCCACGGAGCGCCACGCCGGCACCCCGGAGCATCCCAGGGGAGCCGAGCAGCCCACACCGAGGGGTGGCTGCCAGCACCGGCAGGGGCTGCAGCACCACGGCCGCCCTTACCCGCGGTACTCGATGTATTTGTAGATGAGGCCGGCGATCAGCATGGCGACCAGCGCGTAGTACCAGGAGCAGATGAACATCAGCGCCAGGCAGAGGCTCATGCCCAGGAAGGACAGGGTCCTGCGGAGAGCACCGCGCCGTCAGCGCACCCCGGGCCCCACAGCCGTGCTGGGGTCCCCAGCCTGGGGGGCGGTGGGACACCCCACCGCCCCCGCCCCCGTCCTGTCCCATCCCGTCCCGGCTCACCAGTGGTAGTAGCGGAAGCGGGGCCGCCAGTTGGGCGTCCGCAGCAGCGTCTGCACCGCGCACGCCAGGTTGACGAACATGTAGCACATGAGGAAAAACCTGCAGGAGAGAGGATGAGGCTGAGCGAGCCGCGCCGGGACCGACCGGGGACGCGGCCGGACCCCGTCGCACCTCCCGGCCCCGGGGTAGCCAGCGCTGGAGCAGCCCCACCGACGGACGGGGGAGCCGGCACCGTGGAGCAACCTGACCCCAACACTGGCCAAGGAGCGGCCCTGGGCTCCCCTCCTCCCGGACAGGGGCCAGGGCAGAGGGGTGCCCCCCACCCCGAGGAGCAGAGACCCCCCACGCGCCACCCGCCAGGACAGGGCGAGGGGGCCCGTCCGCCGCTCGCGAAGGTGCGGGTGGACAGAGCATGCTGCCTACATGGAGAGGATGGGAGCCACCTCGTCCAGGGAGGCGATCAGGATCCCGATCTCGCAGATGCAGGCTGTGAGCAGCAGGGCCCACGTCGGCTCCCCGTTGGCTTTGCCATGGCCGAAGACCTGGGAGCGGCGGGGGGGGAGAGGGGCACATCAGGCGAGGGTCCTCAGCACAGCCCGATGGAGCCGGACCATCCCCTGCACCCCGCCCTGGCTGGGAGCAGGGACTGGGTGCACTGGGACCACGCAAGCCCCACCGCGAGTGCCAGGGCCGGGTGGCACCAGGGGAGCGGTCCCAAGGCTGGCGGGACTGGCTCCCACTGCCAGTACAGCCCCATGCCCCAAGACCCTACAGCCCCCCCTGCACCCAGAGCAGCCCCTGTCCCCCTGGGACGCCCACCCAGGGACGAGCCCCAGCTCAGCCTGGCCACAGCCAGCGTGGAGTTGGGCACCCCGTGCCCGGGACGGACATGCTGCCGGCGGGGAGCAGCTCCTTCTGCAGCCGTGGGGACACGGGGTGGGGGCGCGTGTCCGGATTCATTAGCGGGTGCGGGCGGTGTGAGCGAGCAAGAGCTTGGGCTGGGGCTGGCAGGTTGAAGGAGAGAGGATAAAATTAGCCCGCTCTTCCCTGGGAGGAGCTGTCGGGTTGGATTTAGAGAGATGAGGTTGTGAGAACGCGTCTTCAGAGAGCAGATAAAATATGAAGCAGCACGGCAGCGGGGGGGAGGGGAGCCTGACCTTTCCCAGCACCCTCATCCCACCGACACCGCAGCCAAACCCCCCCGGCCGCCCACCGCCACGCCGGTGCCGGCGGGACGAGGGCTGGGCGGGCTGCGCTGTCAGGCAGTGGTGCTGGTGGGATCTGCGGCGGCGGTGGGTGCTCGGGGCTGGCAGTGCTGGGCTCGGGGGATGCCTACCCTGAGGAAGGGCACGATCCCGTCCCTGGAGATGGCTTGCAGGAGGCGGGGGGCTCCGGTGAGGCTCTGCAGCCCGGCCCCACACGTGGAGAAGAAGGAGCCGATGACAATGACCCACGGGGACGGCCACGCCAGGGTGCCAACCACCAGGTTCCCGTTAACAGCTTCACCAAACCTGTGGGGCACCAGCATCACCTGCAGCCCTGTCCCGTGGCTGAGCCCTGAGAGCACCAGCACCGCGGCGGCACAACCCAGTCCCCCCCGGCAGATCAGACACCGAGGGACATCACTGGGGGGGGGGGAATAGGACAGGACTGGGGAAGGGTCCTGCCCCACCTGCTGATGGTCCTCACCCCCTGCGGGGAGTGGGCTCTCAGGTAGCGGGGGGTCTGTCCCCGTCCCCCTGCCCGTGACCACAGCGGGGGACGAGGGGGAGGCGGGGGGGGGGGGGGGGTGCTAGGAGGAGGCTGATTAAGGCTGCGTGCAGTTGGATCCTGTCTGTGTTGGTGCTGGCGACCCAGAAGTGTCACCAGCCGCATGCAGCGAGCTGGGCTGCCCCAGATATGCAGGCAGCGCGGGCAGCCCTGCCTGCTGACAAACAAGCGCGCTGCCTGCAGCCCTGCAGCGGGAGGAAGGGCTGCAGATGTGCAGCAAGAACACGGTCAGGGCGCACACGAGCCCCCAGCACCTGTTACAAGCTTGGGCCCCCCCCAGGAGTCCCCCCCATCCTGGTGCTCTCACCCCTGGACCCTCACAGACCCTCCAGTACCACCCTGTCTGCCCAGTGGCCCAGCTGCAGCCCCCCACACCCCCAGCCCCTCCCAGGGCTGCCCCTGTCCCAGCCCGTTCCTGGAGGCTGCTCCTGGGGGGCTGCCGGGCTTCCCCCACCCCTGCCCCCCATGGCCCCAGGACACTCACTTGTCACGCAGGACGACCCCCTCGATGCATGCCCCAAAAAGCACGACAGAGCTGATATCTACCGGGTGGTCAAGGAGAGCCAGGAGGATGCAGAGTCCTGCCCCCGCCCCGTCCCAGCCCGGTGGGGCACCTGCGTGGGTCAGCCCCACGCAGTGAGCCCACCCCCCTCAGCACCGCAGCCCAGGCTCCGGCGAGCCCTGAAGGATACAGACCGCCGAGGTGGTGGCGATGGCCAGGATGGTGCCCGTGGGGATGGACTTCTGGGCGTCCCGCAGGTCTCCGGAGCGGTTGGAGCCGGCCATGATCCCTGGGCAGAGGGGCCGGTGCCACCGTGGGCAGAGCCGCAGCCCTGGCCCGTCCCGGCTGGCAGGACGGCTCGTGCCGGGCTCCGCGCCAGCCCCGAGTGCGGCACGGCACCGGCTCGGCCGTGGGACACGATGGGGAGCGGGCACAGAGCGTGGGACCCCCCGCCCGCTCCCCTCGGCTCCCCGAGCCGCGGTCTGAGGCCACTGAAGAATTAGGCTCAAAACGCTCGTAAGCGACTTGTCTCATTAGCCCTTAATTAGCTCCCAGACAGGGACTGCGGCAGCGACAGGGACAGGGTCCAGCCCCGGCGCTGCCCTGGGAAGGCAGGAGGCCAGGCGGGGACACGGCCAGCACCGGCAGGTCCGAGGGATGACCCGCACTCCTGCTGTGGCAGTGGCCAGGGTGGCCGTCCCACTGTGCCCGGCCGGGACACGGCCACCCACGTCACTGCGGGGACACGCACCACGGAAGAACCGGGACCTGCCGGTAAGGGGGCACTGGGCGGGAGGGCGGCCGGGTCCGAGCGCTGGGCGGCCTTGCAGGACATCACCGTGCCGGGAACAGCCCCGGGGCGTCCCACCGGCTCTGGCACCCGCGGAGCTGCAGGCGGGACCCAGCGGCTGCACCCCACAGCGGGACTGGGGCGGGGGGGGGGGGGGGGGGCGGGGGGGTGCTCCTCCACCCCCGGGGAGCTATAAATACGGGAGCCGTGGAACGTCAGCACAGCACCGAGCGGCACCGTCAGATCTGGAGCGCGGGCGGCTGCGTGGGAGGCGCGGGCTGCGAGCCACCCCCACCGCACCCAGCGCGGGGGGTCCGCGCACGTGGGGCTCGGCGGGAGCGCGGCCGCCGGCACGTGTGCCCACCGGTGCCCCCCGGCACGCGCGGGGCTCCCACCTGTGACCGAGGGGAAGTAGATGCCGACGAGCAAGGTGAAGTAGGAGGTCATGTCGCTGAAGACGTAAGGCTGGTCCATGTCCACTGGGGTGTCGGGGGGGCTCACGGAGGGCAGCCCCCGCTTCTCCACGATCACGCCCTTGGTCAGGTACGAGCTCCAGAGGTTCTCTGCGAGGAGGCCGGGCAGCGCGTGGGGAGGTGCCGGAGAGCCGCCCGCACCCAGCACAGCACCCTCCTGCCCCACAGCCCACAGGGACGGAGCGTGGGGGTGTCCAGTGCCGCCTCCCCCCGCCCCAGCCCCACTCAGCAGCCGGCACAGCCGGGGCCACCGGCATCCGGCGGGCGAGGGACAGGGCGTCCCCAGCCTGTCACGGGTGTGCGGAGACACCCAGGGTGGGGACAGGCCCAGCAACACGGGTGGGCAACCAGAGCAGGTCTGTCCTGCCACTGGCATCGTCCCCGCAAGATTCTGGAGCAGCTGACGTGGGATTGCGGTAGCAAATAATTAAGAGGGTAATATAATTAATGCTGATCAACACAGGTTTAAGGAAAGTGGATCGTGTCAAAGTAACTTGATAATGTTTTTGATGGGATTACGAGTGCGGGGCTGATGTAACAGGCTTAGTGTCCCTCCGCGCGCTGCCTTGGCCGCAGATCACGGGGAGAAACTGGAGCAGCAGCGAGCAGCCAGCGCCCGGGCACGGCGGGGAGAGGCCAGCAGCCCTCGGCACGGCACTGCGAAGGGACTGCGGCGCGGGCCCAAAGGGGCCCCACGGGGACCAGCCTCAGCACCCGGTGCTGAGCACCCCTCCCCGGCCGTGTGACCTCCCCTGACCGCTCTGGGGTGACAGACGGGGCTGGCAGCCCCCACCCGCACAGCCCTGCCCGGCTCGTCCTCCCACGCCTCTCCCCGCGGGGAGACCCAGCGCCTGGGGCACAGCCAGCCCCAGCCAGCTCTGCCGGGGCCGCACGGTGACACGCAGCCTCCGGACACTGCCAGCCCGGTCACCCTCGACACCAGCCGCCCCACAGCTGGCTCCTGGCTCTGCCCCGCACACCCCAGGCGCAGGGCACAGTCAGACACTCCCTGCCTGCTGCCCCGACAGAGCCTGGCCGGGCTGGGTGAGGGGGTCCACGTCCCCACCCCGGCAGGAGCAGGCTGTACCGAGCAGCCAGGGACTCCTTATCTGCCCCAGGAGACCCCAGCATGGGACACCACCGCCCCAGCGAACACGCTCCACCGCACCGCCGTGACGCAGCCCGGCAGCCGTAGCCCCGAGTGCCACGTGCTGAGCAAAGCCCAAGCTCCCACAGCCGGGTCCACGCAGCCGCCGCGGCAGGGACGGGCTGGAGCAGCCCCGCAGCTGCCCCACAGCAAAAACCAGCCGTGCCCAGGCACCCCAGTCCCAACCCAGGCACCCCAGTTCCTGTCCGGGCACCCCAGTCCCAGCCCGGGCACCCCAGTTCCTGCCCGGGCACCCCAGTCCCAGCCCAGGCACCCCAGTCCCAACCTGGGCACCCCAGTCCCAACCCAGGCACCCTAGTCCCAGCCTGGGCACCCCAGTCCCAGCCTGGGCACCCCTATCTCTGTCCGGGCACCCTAGTCCCAGCCTGGGCACCACAGTCCCTGCCTGGGCACCCCAGTCCCAGCCTGGGCACCCCAGTCCCTGCCCTGCTCCACGGGACCCGCTGGAGATGGAGCCGCTGCGAGCTCACCGCATGCACCCAGTGCGCTGCAGGACCAGCACAGCCACCGCCCCCGCACCCACCGCAGCGCAGGGGCACCCCGAGCAGGCCCTGCTGGCACGGCCCCCCAGAGCAGGGGTCTGCAAATGCTCTCTGAGCGTGGCACTGAGCACTGGCCTCCGCTGCCCACTGCAGAGTGTGAGCACCTGGCAAACACACCAGCAGCTCTGGAAAAACAGGTCAAAAGTGGCTCCTCCCAGCAAATTCATGAGTTTTTCTGCGGCCCTGGCCACTCTCCCAGCACGGCTGCGGCCGCAGCAACAAAGTGCTCCCAAGGGACCATCGCTCCTTGTGAAACCTCAGATCAATACCAGCCTTTCCGAAGGCCAAGAGGAAGCAGAGGGAGGATTTATTCCTCCCCAGCCTCTCCGCATCCTTCGGGGCCATCCTGCTCAGTTGTGTGGTGCAGGTGTTTGTCCTGCTGCCCGGCGCGAGCGCGGCTCGCTGCACCCGAGGGGCAGAGCAGCCCGCGGCAGGATCGCCTGCGCACCCCCTCGCCTTCACCCGGCGCTGCCCACCCGCCCCACAGCCCCCACCTGGCATGCCCAAGGGGCTGCCCCCGCCACGGTACCGGCCCCAACACCAGCCCTGCCCGGCAGGCACGGTCGCTGCCCCACCACGGCTCCCCCGGGGATTGTCCTGCGCCTCCGTCCCCGCGCCCACATCCCCACGCTGCCAGCCCCACGCTTCCGTCCCTGCACCCACATCCCCACGCTGCCAGCCCCACGCCTCCATCCCCGCGCCCACATCCCCACGCTGCCAGCCCCACGCTTCCATCCCCGCGCCCACATCCCCACGCTGCCAGCCCCACGCTTCCGTCCCCACACCCACATCCCCACGCTGCCAGCCCCACGCCTCCATCCCCGCGCCCACATCCCCATGCTGCCAGCCCCACGCCTCCATCCCCACGCCATGCCCACCTTGGATGAGGCCGCTGGCGGCGCCGGGGATGCCCTCGATCTCAGTCACGTTGTTCATGGTGAAGTACTCGTCACAGGTGGCGTTGAGGAAGCGGGAGGTGCAGAAGAGCTCCCAGAGCTTGGAGCCCACCGTCTCATTCCCCTCCACCACCATCTTGGTGCAGAGGTCGAAGCCGTGGCGCGAGAGGGTCCTGTTGCCCAGGAGGCAGATCCTGGGGAGCGGGGGGCAGGCCCTCAGCCACACACGTCTGTGCACCCCGGCCCCACCACAGCCCCACCAGACACCGTACTCACGGGAAGCTTGGTGGGTCGAAGGCCGACTTGATGACACCGGCGTAGATGGCGAGGATGGAGAGGATGACGCAGCCCAGGAAGACCAGGGCAAACTTGTTGACGTACTTGACCCCCACGAACACCACGGTGGCCATGCAGGTCAGCACGCAGGTGCCGTACACACGCATGTTGTTGAGCATCGCGGCCGCCTCCCCACTGGCGTCCTCTGCCTTGAAGATGGCCATGGCTGGGAAGATGTAGGCCTGGGAGAGAGTCATGGCATCACCACCTGGCCAATGTCCCCACGGAGGGGACCCCAGGGAAGGGTCCTTCGGCCCCACTGCAAAGCCTCAGCTCCCTGATGGGCCATGAGGAGCAGGCAGCATGGGCAGGAGAGGGCAGAGCTGCCCGGCCAGGACCTGAGCCCTCAGCACCGCGCCGGGGGAAGAACCGGGCACATACCAGCAGGATTTCAATGGTGCCCAGGATGTACATGGCGCCAGCAAACGTGGTGCCCAGGTAGAAGCAGAGCCCCACAGCCCCACCAAACTCAGGTCCCAGGGAGCGCGAGATCATGTAGTAGGAGCCACCGGCTGCCAGAGAGAGAAAAAGTGGGTCCTGGCCAGACCCCAGCGGCCCCCCCAGCCCTGCCAGGTGTCCCGGAGGGCAGGATGGAGCCAGTGCAGCCCTGGACCCCGCTCCAGCACAGAGCGGGACACAGTCCCCAGGGCCCCGGCGCAGCGGGAGCGAGCGCGCTGGCAGAGCCGTTCCGCAGGAGCCCAGCAGCCAGGTGTGATGGCCACGGGGACCCGTGTCCCCTGGGACACCGGGCAGGTGATGGAGCCCCAGGGACATGGGCCATGCCCTGCCCCATCCTCCCAGAGGAGCCCTTAGAGCCGGGCTGCCGGGATCGATGGTCCCGCCACGGCAGCAAGATGATAAATAACTTTAATTACACCCTGCGCTGGGGCTGTCAGTGCTGCGCCCAGCCCCGGGGACCAGCCAGGGACGGCACAGCTTGCCCGCTCCCAGCTCCCCGGGGCTCTGCGGGGCTGGGCACACTCTGGGGGGAGCAACCTGGGGGCACCCGCACAGCCAGACCCCGCTGGTGCCTTCCCGGGGGGTAGAGACCGCACACAGCAGCGTCCCCACGCCCGGCACAGCTCGGGGGGGTCGGCAGGAGGGGCTGCCCCGCCGCCCAGCCCGCGGCACCCGGCTCCCCATCCTCCTGCCGCCGCGGCTCCCCGCTCCCCCGCGGCCCCGCCGGTCTGGCGGAGGGAGGAGCCGCTGCTGGCGGCTCTCGCTGCCATCTGCGCTGCGCAGCTCTGGGGACGGGTGGCAGCTCCAGCTCCGCGCTCCCCTCGGGCCACGGGGAACCCGCGTGGGCTGGTGGCAGAAGGCTGGGGAGCGGCTGGCCACGATGTCTGCCCTCCCGTGCGTCGCGCAGGGCAGCCCCAGAGCTCGGCCCAGGGAGCGGGACGGCCTCAGGGATGTTCTCGGGGAAAAGCCCTTTGCCACGCTCGGCCCGGACTTTCTAGGGAACAGGGGCCCCCCAGGCACCCAACCCAGCAGGGAGACAGATCCTCTCGCCCCCAGCACATACACGGACATGGACTTGTGTCTACCTGGCACCACGCCGTTGGTGGCGATTGCACTCATGGAAATGGCCGTCAGCATTGTCTGCGGGAAGAAACACGGCGTTGGCACCCGGCAGAACTCCCTCCTCGCTGGGGCAGAGGGACAGGGGAGCGGGAAGGGAGAGCTGGGGCCATGCTGGGACATGGGGCTCCCCAGGGCCACGCTGAGATGTGCCACGGGGCTGGGACAATGGATGGGTGGGTGGGTGGGTGGGTGGGTGGACGGACGGGTGGATGGATGGATGGACGGACGGGTGGACAGATGGGTGGACAGATGGGTGGATGGGTGGATGGATGGACGGACGGATGGGTGGATGGGCAGGCAGGGTTTCTGGCCGGCAGCACAGCTGGGGGTTGAGCCCCTTGGAGGGATCAGCAGCACCATGAGGGGCAGGGGGTCCCTGGGCTGCCCAGGACGCTGCCTGTGTTCAGCCCCTCCAGCCTCTGCCCTGGGGTCGCTGTCCTGGTGGGATGGCTCACTGCAGCACGGCGCACAGGGCCAGAGCAGGGGACGCCCCCCCACACCCCCCACCATGGTCGCTACAATCTGGGTTGCCATTTGAGCACCGTTCTGCTGCTGATTCCTTTGGGAAACTGAAGGCTTCTTGCTGTCAGTGGGGCAGGGGCAGGGCGGAAGCCAGTGCACCCCTCCACAGCCCGGTCAGACCAGCTGGTGACCCCCAGACCCTGGGCGAGGCCGGTGGGGTTCCATCACTCACGCAGGAGCAGCAGAGGAAGACCATGCAGAAGGACTCCATGATGCCAGCGATTCCCACCACCCAGGTGAGGCGCAGGAAGAGGATGACCCCAAAGATGTTCTGGAGGCAGGGCAGGTAGACGCCCATGAAGGTGCCCATCCGCGGGGCCTGTCGAGGGAACGGGCAGCCGTCAGCGCTCACGGGTCTGGCTGGCAGAGGAGCGAGGGGTCCCGCTCCTCCTGCAGCGCAGCCGGGGACCCCAGGTGAAACCGTCCCCCCTGGCACAGGCTAAAGGACTGCCTGGAACTGCACGGGAACCTCCCACATCCCTCACCTGCACCGGCTTCTTCTTGCCCCCGTCATTGTTCTCGGCCTCCTCATGCTCCCGGCTGCCCTGTGGCAGGTTGGTGTAGTTGGCCAGCCCGCTCAGCAGGGATGAGACCATGGGGCTGGTGTCCATCTCCTCCTGTGGAGAGCAGACCCCCGAGCCGTGAGGACCGTCCCGCGGGACCCCGGCCAGCCCTGGGATGTGGGGACCTCACCAGATGCCACCCCACTGACTGCCCTACCAGGCACAGTGGCGGTAACTGGGGGACCCTGGTCTGGGGCTCCGGTGTGTCCCAGTGCCCAGGGTGTGGGTCAGGGTGCTGTGGGACAGCTGCCCAGCTCGACCCCCTCCCCAAGGACCCTCCCTGTCCCACCACCCACGCGTCCTACCTCAAAGAGGGCCATGTTCTTGCCGTCATACTCCTTGCCCTTCTCCAGGTCCGTGCTGTTGATGAAGGGGCTGCTCTCCTTGGGATTGCCATCGCCTGCAGAGATGCCGCCGGGTCAGCCAGGCAGCCCCAGCCTGCGCCGGGAGAGCATCCACCCCGCGGGGCTGCCGCTGCGAGGGGCCACGGCTGCACCCCAGCTCCCGTGGGAGGGCTGCCGGGGCTGTGGGCACCATGCTCGCACCCCATCCCAGCACAGGCGATGGCAGCCCAGGCGCCAGCGTCACCTCCCATGCCACGCACGTCGCCAGGAGCCACGCGCTGCCCTGCCCGGCACAGGCACCCGCCGGAGCGCATCCACGCAGAGAGGTGAGCGGTGCGGATCCAGGGGGAACCCTCCCGGCGGGACGGCTGGCAGCAATAACTCACGGCGCGGGGCGCCCGTGGGTGAGCGCACCGGGGCTGCCCGCAGCGCCGTGTCTGCAGGGGCAGGATCCGGCCGGATGCTCAGCACAGCACCGCGGAGGGGCACGGTCCCGGCGCCGTGCCTGGGTGCGGGGGCGAGCGGCCAGATGTCTGGTCCCGCTCCCCAACACGCAGCACAGTGGCGGGGGCCGCGGCCTCGCCGGCTGTGCCGCAAGCCGGGGAGGTGTCCGGCGGTGCCACCACCGAGGGCAGGCACCGCTGCTCTGCCCGGGGCAGCGGAGCCGCCCGCAGCGGTGCAGAGCTCGCAGAGCTGCTGGGACAGAGCCGCGGCTGCTCGCTGCATTAACGACCTCGTGCAGAAGAAACCCGGAGTCGGCTTAATAGCAAGGAAAACAGCCGAGCTGCAGAGCAGCAGAAATAAATCAGGCTGGAAATGGAGCGGCAGCGAGGAAGGTGCTGCCGGAGTGGCGCAGCCCTGAGCGGGGAGGCCCGGCAGGGAGGGGGGCAGGGGCTGCGTGGGGCTGGGGAGCCAAAGGACACGGTGCTGGGCAGAGCGGCTGGCCCCTGGCCCTGGGTGGGAGGAGAGGGGCTCCCCGCCACGCACCCATCCCCACCACCACGGACGGCCCCACAGCCGGGGCAATCGCACCGCCGACGGCAGCACCGCCGGGCAGGCTGCCTGCACGGGCAGGGGCACAGACCTGCCCTGCACCCCGGCCCGGGGCGAGAGCCGTCCCCTCTGCTGGCCCTGGCACGGAGCCCAGGAGTGCCCAGGGGCACGGGGACAGACCCCGCACCGCGGCAGCCCCGGGACAGACCCCGCGGCCCTTCGGAGCAGCCCGGTGCCCTGCCTCCCGCCCGTTGACTCGTATTCGGGATCCTGGGAGCCCGTTTGCCTGCGTGCGGTGGTGATTCACCATCTGCAATTTCCCCGGCAGATGCGGCGCTCCTGGCTGACCGGGAGGTGAAGCCCTGAGCGTTGCAGGTGACACCGACCCAGGGGCTGGCCCCCCCGCCTCCCTCTGGTCCCCAAGCTCCTCCGGTGTGGGGTCCCTTACCGCGCTGCCAAACTGTGGGGCAGAGCCTGCGGGCTCCTCCTGTGCAGGAACAGCCGCGGCAGCAGCACCGGGACACCGTGGCCCAGGGGTCCAGCCGGCCTCACTCCAGAGCCCCCTCGGACACGCGCCCAGCACCACACGCTGCACCGCCAGCCCCGTGTCCCCCACCAAAGGGTGCGCGGGGGGGTCTCCGCGCAGACCCAGCGTGCTCCTTGCTCCGGGTTTGGTCTAAAGCAGCACGCCCAGCACCCGTTAGGTAACGGCGGTGGCAGGAGCTGGCACCCACCTGGTCGCCACGGCCCCCCCCCACCTGCACCGGCTCTGGGAACCGCACCGATGTGAGGCGTCCACCGTGCCAACAGGGACGCCCTCCAGGCGATGGCGGGGCCTGTCCCCAGCGCGGGGACACCGGAGCCCACCGCCGGAGCCCACCTCCCCCTCCACCCAGCCCGAGCGGGACCGGGCAGTGCCTTGGGGGCACGGGGTGGAGGCAGCCTGGCAGGGGGGACGTGCTCGCAGCCTGGCGAGGCCCTGGGACCCCACGGGGAGAGCGGAGCCCGCGGGGGCCTCGCCTCGCCGCCTGGTACCCAGCCGACGACATCACCGTGCTGGTTACCATGGCAACGGCGAGCCACGGCCGCCTCGGCTCCTGCTCTTATGTAACGGCGCAGGCGGCCGGACACCGGCCCCGCACAGCACCCGCACCCCGGCCCACCAACACCTGAGGGACCGCAGGGCTGAGCCCCCCGGCCCCAGCCCGCCCCGGCCCCACGGGACCGGCACTGCCTGGCTCCGCATGACAGACGCCAGCAGCACCCTGGGGTGCCCACGCTCCAACCCGCCGGCGCCACAACAGCACCTGAACCTCACAGTCCCCCCGGGTCCCTGTCCAGGGCACCATTCCAGCACCGCAGCGACCACAGCCCCATGCTGGCATTGCCCGGGCTGCCAGGGCTGTCCCGGGGCACAGGGGCCCCTCGGCTGGTGGTTCCACTGGGATGACCGGCACTGGGAGAGGCCCTGGGCTGGCGGGAGGTGGGGACGTGCACATGGCACAGCTCCGGCTTCCCCAGGGCACGGCTCGGGGGGACCCCTGGCCACCCGCCACCCCCCTGGCCCTGCAGGCTGGAAGGAGTTAAGCGCCGGGGCCGCGGGGTCCCAGGTGACGATGCGCTCCCCGCTCCTGCCAGAGACCATTTTGCCGCAGAGGGGCTGGTGCAGCCTCTCCCCGGTTGCTGCCACAGAGATCTGCGGTCCATGCGGGCAGGGGCACCGCGGCCCGTCCCGGGCAGTGCCCACCCTGTCCCCCATCCGCCGCCGCCACAGCCAGTCCCTGCCGAGTGACACCTCCAGGCCGTGGCAACATGTGGGACACTGTCCAGTCCCCCCCGTACAGCCTGGGGAGGAGCAGCACTGGGGCAGGAGCACAGGACGGGGCTGGGCAGCGCCGAGGCCGGGCAGCCCAACACAGGAGAGGCGGTGCGAGCGGAGAAGAGCCGAGCCGTGCCAGGCTTCGATCCCGGTGCTCAGCTGCCCCCCTCCCCAGGGATCACTCAACATGAATCGGCCTTTTAATTTGCTGCGGCGGCTGGAAGGGCTCGCGGCGGGATTGCTGGCAGGAACCCGCAGCCCCGCTGTGGGCACCGCGCAGTCCCACTCGTGGCAGGGGTTACCGCTGACACCGCCTACCCACGGCATCCCAAAGCTGACCCCACTGCCTGCCCCGGCAGCACGGGGCCCCCAGAGACCATCCCCACATCCCCAGGGGCTGGCCCACCCCACAGGGCAGCGCTTGGGCTGCAGCACCAGCCACAATTTGAGCGCCTGATGGCTTTTTACTCAGCCCTAAATTGGGTTGGGAAGCGTCACGTCCCTCATCCCAAATCCTCCCTAATCACTTCACATGGCGCAGGGCACGGAGCACTGGCTGCGGGAGCCCAGGCAGCCCAACCCTACGAGCTAATTAACCAGAGCTGCTGCCGGGGCCGCTGCCGGCTTCTCCCCGGCTGCGGCCAGCCTGTCCCCTCCACGGCACACCACGAGGACCGGCTCCCTCGCACCCACCACGCACAGCAAGCCCTGGCCAGGAACAGCGGGTGCTGGGGCCGTGGCATTGGCCGGGAGGACCAGTGGGCAAGGGGGGACATGGCTGGGGCAGCCTCAGCCCCTGCACCCCTGTGTGTGCTCCTGCAGCGCCCCAGGACCCACGGGGTGCTGGCACAGGGGTGCTGACAGCTCAGGGACCCCCTGTGCAGGCCTGGCCACTCGCCCCTCCTGCACTGCCCCACCGCACCAGTCCCACCAGCCCCAGGGGCAACAGCAGTGCGGCGGCTGCTCAGGGGGTGCACGGGGCACCTTGACTTTTGCCAGAGTGTTCGATGGCACTGGCTGGCGAGCAGCCTCCTCCCACTCCCTGGGGCTCTGCCCACGGCAAGGAGCACCCCAGGGTGACCCCAGCAGCTCGGTGAGCACACGGGTGAGCACGTGGCCCTGGCTGATGTCCCCAGCTGCTGCCGTTCTGCAGGAGCTGCTGGTCGGGGAGGCCACGGTGCTGTTCTGTCACCCTTGGCTATCAAGGGGACTTGGCTGCACTGGCCTAGCCCTAGCCTGGGGGTCCCTAAGGCAGGTGGGGATGGCTCTTATGGTGGCTGGCACTTCTGCTCCCACCCAAGCTGCCTTCTCCCCTGAGCAAGGGTATCCGCCAGCTGCCCCAGGTAGGGTAACCCTTGGAGAGGCCACAGAGCCCCCACAGCCCCCACCGAGGCAGAGACCGCCGGTGGCTCGTGCTGGCAGCATGCACAGCAGTGCCGGCTCCCGGCTGCAGCGTGGCGGTGGGGTGGGGGGGTGGGATGTTCCGCCCACCCTGGGGCTGTGCTTTGCCCCTCCAGCCGGCAGGCACACTGAGTGGCCTTTTGGGCTGGATTCTTTCACTGCCTGACCCAAATTGGACCAACTGCTACTTCAGACCTATCCTCTTCCTTCCTAAACCCAGGATTATCCTCCCTTTGATCAGCCGGCCCTGCAGGCACAGGATTTCCAGCACAGGCGCTTTGGCTGACTGCATTTAAACAGCTTCCCAGATTCTCCAACAGCCTGAGCCCTGCCTTGGAAATGGCCGTGGACACAAGCTCCAGCAAAGCTCCCAGACCCGGGACTCCCCTCCTTGGGCAGCCCGGTGCCTCCAGGCTGGAGCGGCAGCACAGCGACCTGCAGTGGGGCTGCATCCCCCAAACAGAGCAGCACAAACTGCCAGCCTGGACGCTGCAGGCAGCAGCCCTGCCTGCTCCCCTGCTCCCCACCACCTCCCCAGAGGGTTAGCCACTGGTCCAGCCCTCGCCAGGCTGCCAGGACTGGAGCCCTTCCAGCCCTTGTCATGAGGCTCTCACAGGTTGTCCAGAGCAGGGACACTGCTCGGCCTTTCCAACAGAAATGGCCAAGTGGCACCCAGGGCTTCGGCAGCTCTGCTGGGCTCCGCAAGTCACCAGCCAGCCAGTGCTGGAGCGGCCGGGACAGGGGGGACCCCGCTGGCATGCAACAGCTCTGCCACCCCTCTGGGTGCTCCATGGTCCCCGCAGACAGACCCCACGCAGGGAGCTCAGTGTGACCCTCGGTAGGGGGGGCATCCCCACCCATCCGCAGCAGCCACCCTCAACACAGGTGCGGAGAGCCCCACTGTGCCCTTCCCAGCAGATGCTCCCCTGCTCTCCAAGCCCCCCAATGCCCCCGCTGCCTCCAGCTCTGTGCCCACTAGCCCATGAGGCACCATCTCGCCAGGCCTGGCTCCAGAGACTGCCTGCCTCGTCCATCTGTAGTGGCACCGTGTCCAGCCCTCCCTCCAGACCCCAGCAAGGCAGAAACGCCTCCTGCCATGCCGCCGGCACCGCTCTGCTGTGATGGAAACGCAGCAAGAGAGATAGATCCTGATGCTGCAGAGGGCAAGGGGAGGGTGAGAGACCAGGGAAGGGCACGGTCGGGGACCGGCATGGCTCCCCCCAGCCTGGCAAGGTGCCCCTAGGAGACTCCTGCCAGCCCTGACCTTGAGTGAAGCCGTGAATAAACAAGCAAATAAATAGGCTCAGGTCGGCAGAGCAGAGCGAACACCAAAAGCCTCATCGCGGCTGTGCCCAGAGCCTCACTGCAGGCAGCCATGGACTTCTGCAGAGACTGACAGGGCTGGGTGTCCCCTCCTGGCTGGGCTTTCAGCAAATCCTGTCAGGGGACCTGGTGCGGGGCTGGGGGGAGTCAGAGAGGCACTGCAGGTCCCCTCGGCACATCACTGCATTTCCCCGGCTCCAATCCATGCCCGATCCCAACAGAAACACCTGCAAGAGAGGGTGCTGCACTGGCCCAGCTGCCTGGGTGCCTGGGGCTGGACATGGCCCCGCAGGGGTCCGAGCACCCCCCACAGCAGCTCGGCTGCCGGTGGGTGTCCCAGGGATGGCTCAGGCCGAAGCACCGACGGTCATGAGGCTGCTGCCAGGTCCTGGCAGCCCCGCAGCCCCTCGCCCGCAGCTCGCAGCGGCCCTGCACTGCGCCGGGGCTGCAGCATGCCCGGCACGGCACGGCTTGGCAGGGAACGGCACAGCCCGGACTGGACCGGCAGGGCACGGCACGGCACGGGCTAGAGCGGACCGGCTCGGCTCGGCTCGGCTCGGACCGGCTCAGCAAGGCTGGGCTCGGACCGGCTCGGCTCGGACCGGCTCGGCTCGGCTCAGCAAGGCTGGGCTCGGCTCAGCAAGGCTGGGCTCGGCGGAGCGCAACGTCCCCCGGCCGAGCGGCTCCTGCCGGCCCCGGCGCAGGGCCCGGGCGGCCGGTTCAGCACCGCGGACAGCGGCGGCGGCGGCCCCGGGGGGGCGGCGGGGATGGGGGGGCGGCAGCGGGGAGGAAGGGGGGGGCGGCAGCGGGGATGAGATGGGGGGGCGGCAGCCGGAGATGGGGGGGCGGGGGTGTCAGCGGGGACGTGGGAGGCGGTAGGGAGGGATGGGGAGGAGGTAGCCGCGTGGGGGTGGGGGGCGCGCGGGGACCTCTGCGGGGGGTCCCGGGCGGGCGGGAGTGGGTCGGTGCCAGTGGCCGCCGGGGGCTTCCCGGGAAATTGGCAGGGGCCGTCGCCCGGCGGGACGGGCCGGAGCGCAGCCCGCAGCCCCCCGCCCGGGGGGAGGCCCCCCGGCAAGCCCCGGGCACGGCCCGGCCCCGCCGCGCTGCCGTTTCTCGGGGCTGCCGCAGCGGCGGGAGCGGGGCCGGGGCTGTGCGGAGGCGCCGGCAGCGGGAGCGGGAGCAGCCCCGCACCGCCCGCCGCAGCCCCGCGGGGCCGCGGACCGGGAGCCGCTGCCGCGGCCGGGGCCGCCCGCATGCCCCGCCGCGGGGTCCGGCGGCCGCGGCACCCCCCGGCCCCGCGGCCCCCGGCCCCGCACCGCCTCTGCCACCCGCTCGGCGCCGAGCCCCGGCCCCCGGCGCGGCGGCGGCGGCCGCCGCGGGCTCCCCCGGTGCCCGGTGCCGGTCCCTCACCTTGGCTGGCGCCGCCGTCGCCGTCCTCGCAGTCGGCCAGGTTGTTCAGCATGGCGCCGGCTGCCCGCGGCCGCACGCTGCTGCCCGGGAGCGGCGAGCTCCGCGCTCCGCAGCCCCGCCGCGTCCCCGCGCCGCCCCCCGCCGCCGCCGGTGGGAGGGGGCTGCAGTGCGGAGGCGCCCGGGCTCACGGCTCGCTGCTGCCGGCAGAGCCCAGCCCTGCCGCTCGCTTCATCACGTATGCAGGAGGCATTGCCCCCGCCGCTGCGGGGAGGGGAGCAGGGGCGAGGCGGGGGAGGGCGCGGAGCGGAGCGCACACCGCCTCCCGGCTGAGCCAGGCGCGGGGGGGGGGCGGGAACTAGGGCACGGCAGCGCTGCGGGCCCCGGCTGGCGCGGGCGGGACGGCCCCGCACCCCGCACCCCGCGCCCCGCACCCCGCACCCCGGTGCGGCCCCGGGACCGGGCACGCGGCTCGGGACGTGCCGTGGGGCAGACCCTGCGCCTGCGGGACCGACGCATCCCTGGGGGGACGCTGAGGCCTGGGGTCAGGGCAGCCCCCCCGCCCCGGCAGCCCCGGCCCCTGCCCGCAGCGAGGCCAGCGGCGGGCAGCTCCCGAGAGGGGGAGCAACTCCCGGGGGGACGGACGGACGGACAGACGGACGGACAGCTGCCCGGGGGGGGACAGCGCCAGCCGCGCTGAGGACCCCTCTGCGGGCAGCAGGGCCCCGGCAGGCAGGCAGGACCCCAGGGCTGCAGAGCCGCTCTCCCTGACGAGTCCTGGGGGGGGGGGGGGGTTGGGGGGGGGTGTTGCAGAGCCCACCCACGCGCGGAGGCCGTGACCTGCAGCCACCATCACCCAAGGGCACCCCGGGGAGGAGGGGGGACGACCAGACCCCCCCCCCCCCGCCAGCAGCGTTGTGCCGACCCCGCTCTGCCCCGCCGGGATGCAGCAGCTCTGCAGAGCGGGGAACACCGCCCGTAGACGGCAGCGGTGTTGGCCTGACCCCCCGCCGTGTCTCCAGGGGGGCCGGGGTCACACCGCGACCGGGAACCCCCCGGCAACTCCCCCCTCCAGACGCGCAGCACGGCAGGTCCGGGGCTGACCCTGGAGGGGGGGCTGCCAAGAGGCCGACACCCCCCCCCCCCCACCCCGAGCCCTGCCCACCGGCTGCAGAGCCCCCGGCCTTCGCAGCGCGACCCCCGGCAGGGCCTCGGGGCTCAGGGCCGCCCTCGGGCTGGGGGGCTGCCGACTGGACCCTGCGCTGACCCCGCAGGGCCGCTCACAGCCCCCCCTTCTCTCACCCACTTAATCCGGGAGGATCCCAGAGCCGGAGCTGGCTGCAGCTCCCGGCATCTCCTCCGGAGCGGGCTGAGATCATGACAGCCCGCTGGCGTTAGTTACTTCTTGACGGCTGTAATTAATTGTTTACTTTCTCCTGGTACGGGGCCAGCTGCTCCGCAGCGCGGCGGCTCCCGGCCCTCACCTTGCGGGGCGGGGGGGGCTCGGACCCGCGCACCGGCCCCGCCGCCAGCCCCTGCCCGCTGCAGCTGCGACCCCCGGGCCCGGCGTCCCCCGGGACCCCCACCGGCACAGACCCAGCTCCGCGGCAAGCGGCGCAGGCCGGGTGGGCAGCTCGGGGGCTGCCCCGGCGCGGGCAGAGCGCTGCCTCCCCCGGCCCCCAGACCCCCCCTCTCCCCGCCCAGGACCCCCGCAAGGGAGGGGGGGCTGCCCTTGCCCAGCCGCAGCACCGCGGTCCCCTCGCCCCCGCATCCCTCGGCGGGAGCCAGCGCTGGAGCAAGGGGCTGGCCCCCTCCCCAGGGCCGGGTTCCCCCCCCAGGGCCGGGTCCCCCCTCCAAGGGCCGGGCCCCCGCACGCTGTCGGCACGGCCGGGGCTGCAGGAAGGACGCAGCGGGCAGAGCCGCTCCCCCCGGCGGGTCCCGGGGGGTTGCAGAGCCCACCCACCCACGCACGGAGGCCGTGGCCGGGCAGAGGGGCCGCGCGGGGGCCAGCCACGGCGAGCGAGCGCCGAGAGGGTGGTTTTGCGCAGGAGGCCGCAGCGCGTGGGCTCAGCACAAGAGGGATTTTCCTGTTAAAACAGATGGGGGGGAGGGAGCACGTGAAAGACCACTAATCCCCTAATCCCTGGATTATGGCTCCATTTCAGGGGCTGGGATCTACCAGCAGCACAGGGGGGCTACACGCTACCGACTGCATTTGCTTAGCCCATGTGTGGTGTCCCACTGGTGCAGGGAGGGGGGGGGGGGGAGGAGGAATGACACATGTTGAGGGTGTCCCTGGGGCAGAACCAAAGCGAGGGGGCTCCCTCGCCCCCCAGCACAGCACTGACCTAACCCTGGCCTGTGAGCATGGTGCCCTGGGGCTGGGGTACGTGGCCCCATCACAACAGGAGCAGAGGGGCTTGGCATGGCTCAGGCATGGGCAGCGGAGCTGAGGACAGAGGGAGGCAGGCGGCTTTCCCTGGGCATGGGGGGGATCAGCTGCAAGTGGCACCCGAGCCGGGGTGCAGGCAGGAGCCTGGCGTGAGGCCAGGCATGGCATCAGTGCCCCACTTAACTGCAAGAGGCTGCCCGGGAACGACAAGCGAGAGCTGTGCAGCTCCTCTGCCAGGCCAAGGGGTTGGCACAGCACAGATGGACCACCCCTCCTACCCCCTTGGCACCTCTGCACTCCCCCCCCCGAGATCAAGACTACTGAGATGTGCGAAACCCCCAAAGCCAGTCTGGAACACGAAGCCTACCTGCAAACCACCCTGTGCCACTGCACAGCCCCCCAAGCACACCCCAGACCCCCCTGCACCCACCATGTCATGCAGAGCCCAGGTTGGGGGACACTGTCCCTGCATCCCCTTCCGGAGCAGGCGTCTGGGCCGTGGCCCACACAGCCCCTGCTTGTCCTGCCACCAGCAGTGGTCAAACCTCCCAGGAGCAAAACACGTGCTGGAAGCCCTGGGAAACCTCCTGCGAGCACGGAGCGGGCAGCCCGGCAGCAGCCACCCAGGAGGCGAGGGCAGCCGCGCTGCTCCACCTGCACCGATCCCCAGGCACCGTCAGCCTGACCCGCGAGAAGTCCGGCACTCCCGGCTCAGCAGGGAGCTCCTCGCAGCGCAGGGGACTTGAGGGCACGAGGCCAGGCATTCCCCAGGAGAAAGAAGAGCTGGGGCAGCAGGGACCCCAAGAGGATGAGGGGGTGGGGGGCAGCCCGGAGATGCAGTGGGGTGCAGAGGGCAGCAATGCACACACAGACCCGGGGGCCGTGCCGGAGGATTTGCATCACGGTGTGCCCCACACTGTGCTGTCCTGCCAGCCCCATGACCCTGGGGGCAGCACGTCCCACAGCAGCCGGACGGAGGGGTTTTGCTCGTCCCCATCCAGACAGGCCAGGGCCCTGCCCCCAGCAGCAGCGCAAAAGCAGATCTGGAGGTGACACGGGTGACAGCTGGGACCTGCCAGCAGCTCCGGTGGCTGGACAGGACATGGAGGGAGGGACAGTGTCCTGTGGGGCTGGGAGCAGAGCCACGAGGAGCTGGTGCAGCTGCCCGAGGCCAAGAAGGGAGGCAGTGGGGCAGGGCAGGATGTGGGGCAGGGCAGGAGGACGTGAGCTGGTGTGGCATCCCTGGCTGCCCTGCCCAGACATCTTGCCGGCAGTGGGGCCGTGGCAGCAGGCAGCCCAGCACAGGGATCAGCCGCCGAAGCCACCTCCTGCCGCCAGGCCCCGCGCCGGGCAGCGCAGCCGAGAAGCCCTCGAGCAGCCCCACACCGGCTGCAGCGCCCAGGGGACGCCGAGGAGCGGCTGCCGCTGAGCGGGGGCTGAGGGGCACGGTGCCCCCCAAAGGGTCGGGCACAGCAGTGGGGCTGACCGAGGCACTGGGGTGTCCTGCATCCCACACAGCATACCCTGCCTGGCCCCACAGCCGGTGCAAGGACCCCCACCCCTGGGACCCCACTGGAGCACCCCATAGCGGGTTCAGCGGCACAAAGAGGCCTCGGGAAGGTGCTGCGGGTGGAAGCTGGGGCCTAGGCTGCCCCAGGCCCCCCCCAAGATCAGTCCCACCCACCCTGTGCTGCCCAGCCCCTCCATGGCACAGCCCCTAGGCACTTTTAACACCACCTCCCAAGACCACCCAGTATCCCACGAACCTGTCTTGCGTGGCTCTGGGCTGAGGGAGCCAGGGGGGCTGGGGGAGGCAGGGGGCTGTGGCAACGGGGGTCAGGGGGCCCCCCGCTCACATAGCCCCCGCAGACCCTGTCTCTTGCATGCACCCTCTGCGCCCAGGGCCAAGTGGGTGCTGGGGGGACCTGGCACCCCATGGGGGGCCCTGTCCCACCCGCACACCCTGGCCCCCCCAGGGTAGTGGCCCCACAGTGGGGTGTCCCTGTGGGCAGCAGTTGCGCAGCCGGGATGCAGCCAGGGCTGATGGGGTCCCCCCTGCCGCCTAAACCCACCACTCCCCAAGTGCCCACCCCCTGCCCAGGGCCGGCCCCCAGCACGGCTGCCCCACACAGCCCTGCCCACGGCCCCACAGCCCCACGGCCCGGCCCTTCCCCAGCGGGTCTGGGAGAGCGGATGAACCCCCCCCTCCCCAAGCATCAGGAGCCGCCGGCAGGGATGACACCGGGCCCGGTTTCCATGGCAACGAGTGAGGCTCCTTAACCAGTTGGTTGCCATGGAGACTGCCGCCGAGCCCGTCTACCTCGGGACACGGAGGGGGCTCCGTTCAGGGACGCCTCGCTGCCCCCCCCGAGGGCAGCTGCCCCACGGCCAGCGCCCCCCCAGCCCCACGGCAGCGCCCCGGGACGCCCACCCGCTCCCGGACCCCGCGGAAGGCCCGGCCCCCCCCACGCCGTGGGTGCTGGCGGAGAGAGACCCCCGTGGGGGCGGCCGCGGCGGCCCCGTCCCGCGGGCGGTGGGGCGGGGCGTGGTCGGGCGGGGCGAGGTCTGGAGGGGCGGGGCGGGGCGGGGCGGGGCGGGGCGGGGCGGGGCGGGGCGGGGCGGGGCGGGCCACACCCCCCGGTGGAGGCCGTCCCGTCCCGGCAGCGCCGCCTGGTGGCGGCGAGGTCCCGCACGGCCCCGTCCCGACCCCCGCACGGCCCCGTCCCGACCCCCGCACAGCCCCCTCGGGTCCCGCACAGCCCCCTCGGGTCCCGCACAGCCCCCTCGGGTCCCGCACGGCCCCCTCGGGTCCCGCACAGCCCCAGCTGCCCCGTCCCGACCCCCGCAGCGACCTGCGCCCGGCCTTGGGACCCCCACGGGTCCTGCCCGCACCCTGCCCGGCACCGGGCAGGTCCCGTCCCGCGGCC